TGGCCTTGGCCGCTTTTCGCTTCGCCTTGGGTACCTTGGGCACCTTGGAGACCACCTGGCACAGAGGGCATTTGCCTTGTTAAATGGTTAAACTATATTTATCTATATTTATCTATATATATATACTATACAGTATCTGTATGTATATGTATGATTATTTATATATACCTAGCGCATCAAGAACCCACAATTTTGTAGGTCTTTTTCCAAAAACCCGGTTTTTTCTTCAGTAATGAAAAAGACCCGGTTTTTCTGTTTTTCTCAGAAAATATTGATTTTTTTCTTTACTAGGGAAAAAAACCTACTTTTTCTCACTCTTGGTGTCATGACATCTCATGATTCCTTCCCCTAGACGCTTCAAACCCCTTTATTGATACCAGCCTTGGATCTATCCCTCTCAGTACCCTTCATGTTGATTATACTTCCACCCCGCTGGCTTTGGCTGGCAGTTCTCACAAGAAAGGGCCCGATGCTCTTGGAACATGTCGGACAACATAAAGTGTGATCACAGTCAATCTGGAGTCGTTGGATGATTTTTTTCCAAGAACCACCCCTAGAAGCATAAATTGAAACATGGCTGTATTTTTTTCATTGGGAAAAAATGATCCTGGATTGCCAAAGTCCAACAAACAGCCGAAGAAAAGTATCGAAAAAAAACAAAATCATGAAAAATCAATCGGCATTGTCAGTTTTTAATCATTTCGGATGACAATTTTAGGGTCTGTACCCAAAAAATGCCAAAAACCCATATTTAAGCCGTACAAAGCCGTACTAAACCCATATTTAACCCGTACTAAACCCATATTCTGATATAGTTAAAAAAAACGGTTTTTGGGAACCTATATTTAAACCATATTAAACCCATATTTAAATATATTTAACCCATACTAACCCGTACTCAAAATATTGGTTTTTTGCTTCTGCGAATTGACGGCGCGATGTCGAGTTTTAAGGCTCCGCTTGTGGTTTTGCAAGATCGAACCGGTAGTTGCCCGATCCAGACAAAAAGAAAACAACGCAGATTACCGGAGCTATTGTCAATTTACTGGGTTCATATCTGAAAAGCTGACTTTTGAAATGCCATGCATATCCATTGTGACTTTTTGACTACCTCCAGTCCCGCTGAAGGTAAAGTTCGCAGCATAGGAGGCAACTGCAGCCGGTGGAGAATGCACGCGTCGTGTTTGATAACGCTTGCTTCGGTTTCCATCGCGCGTTCTGTCTGACAGATTTCACAAGTTGTCAGTATGAAATTGCTACATGTAATGAGGAGAAATTTGATACAGGTCCACCCGATTAGGATTTGTGCAAATCCAACAAAAACCAAAATATGGGTTCTTTACAAAAACATTTTTTTCTCGAAAAAACTATGTTTTTTTACACTGGACCTACAATTTTTTGGGTCTTTGGTAAATAAACATATATATATATGTGTGTGTATGTGCTTTAAACAATACATATGGTGCAGGAATGTTTTGAAAACAATATATTGGAAAAACATATTTATATATAAAATATAGAATAAATTCGTTTTCTTAGATTTCTGTGGATTATATTACTGCCTCGTAGTGTCCAGCGTCGGACTGTTCATTGTTTTTGGGATTGCCACACCATAGTGCTTTGTTGAGCGCCTCCCATCTGCGGGAGTCCGTAAGTGGCTTCCACGTACTTGCCAGGTAGGAATTGATTTCACCATGTAGACCAAGTTCCATGCAGTATCCCCCAATCCCTGGTGGGAAGTAGTTTGCTCAGTTCCTGCAAGCATGCCCATGCATACCCTCAACCAACATGGCGATTGGGAATCCCAGTTCAAACAAAATGAGAACACCAAAGTTACCAAAGGGTAAAGGATAATGAGTCGATGTCACACATTTTCCACAGGGAATGTCACTAGGAGTGGACATGGAGTTGAGAAAAGCAACCAATTTGGGGGCCGTTTCTCTTACTAATCCCTTCCCGGGTAATTGGAAAGAATCTGGAATTTATCTTAAAACCATGGTTCAGTGTGTTTTTTCTCATTTTGGAGCCTATAGGTGGGGGTAGCTCACATTAAATTAGGGGGATATGTTTTATACTACATATTTATGGTGATGAAAAATACGCACTCCATCACCACTGGGGAGCAGGATGTACACATTCACACATATAGTAAGCCCCGAAAAGATAAACAAAAACACGTGTTATCACTATTCTGATGTCACCAATTTCTATCTTTTTGGGGGTTACTATATCCATCATTTTGCAGTGAGTTTTCTTGCAATTTCCGCCAAAATCCGCTGCCGCCCGAGACCTTGCTGTCTTCGCACCTGACGAAAACACCATGAAATGTGTCACCAGGCCATGTAAAACATGCACAAGAACATGAAGAAACAAGGCTTAAGCTCCAACACATGTGATCTTTAACATCCCATATTTAGAAAGATATGATACACGCTATTTCACTAATGCAAATGGGGGATTGAACAAAGAAATACGTGTAACTATCACAGTGGATGAAGGAAATATGTGCAGCTGCGGGTTTACTGCGAGTTCCGCCAAGGCTTGGTCCATCGCTGACGAATTCCCGGGGCCAGGCCTTTCTTCGGAACTTTGCTGCGGCTGCTGCGGCATCGAGATCAACAAGGGAACACGGACCACGGGACTGCTGCGAACAGGGGGATGTTCCCTGTTGTGGACGCACGTGGCAAGTGGGTTCATTGCACAGACCACAGGTGATATGCTTCCGGGATAATCCAAGAACCCTTGATTCGATCAACAATATATATATATACACAAGTGATAATAATTATTATTACTATACAATTAAGGTCTGTTGCAACATGTTGCAAATACATGTTATAAAGAAAACTTGTCAGTGGTAGCATATGTTGACATGTTTCCGTCCCCAAAGTGCAGGATAGAAACCAGGAAGCTGCTTGGCTGGGTTTGGAAGGTGGATTTCGGGTCAGAAATTTCTGGGTTGCACCTCCAGCCCCTTGGTAACAGCACCGGCCCTTCCTCACCCCACCCAGGAAGGGTCTTGAGCCGACACAATCGACATATTCGATCAAGCTCAAGCTGTTGTGCCAAGCTATGGCATATGCACAAACGCGGGGTCTATGATCCATATATACAGTATCCATGGGTTCCCCAAAATGGGAAATGGACAAACTGAAAATCATCCAAAACTGCTCATTTTAAAGAGGGAAGTCAATGGTTTTGGGGTTCTCCTAGTTTAAGGGAAACAGCCATATCTATTCGGTAAGCATAACTTTCATTGAGCATAAGGGATGCTAAACTGCTGCGCAAGTTGGCTGGATCATCTGTGTCATCTGGGTGATCCGCAATCACCGACCGAAAAAAACGCAAGCAAAAGGCAAGCCTCGATTGGCAACATGAAGCTTCGGCTATCATGTACCCATGTACACTATTGATCACTATATTGTACATGGTTATTTCTTAATCCATTCTGTGGATGGTTGCGGAATCCTGCACCACCAAAAGGACCCTTGGATGGTTGAAACCCTATCTGGTTGGTGGTTTTAACCATGTTGAAAAACATTAGTCAATGGGAAGGATTATCCCATATATTATGGAAAAAAATCTACTAAAAAATATTTGAAACCACCAACCAGCTATAAATAATGGATAAACATGGATAAACAAACCATCTATCGGTGCAGATCAGCTCGATCAGCTACGGTCGGACTGCAATCACTTCGAATCACCTCGAAGCGGTGTATGCCAGTTGCATCCCAAGTGAAAATGGGTTATGGATGTTTATGGCGGGTTTACTACATTTTACTACATCATGTTTGGACAATTTTTGGGGTCTTCTGGGCCACTTGAAAAGAACAGTTACCAACTTGAAGGCAAAAAAATCTCGGCGGTCCATCTGTGGAAGGCGCAGGTTCAGTCCATGAGAATCGACCGATACTTTTGATCGTGCGGCAGCACCCGCCGCTGCATACACCCTGACCTGACCGTTTCTCTGGGTACCATTTGCTCGGTGTGGTCTTTTCGTTGGTGCCACCCTATATTAACATGCCACAAAGACCAACGTCAACGATTTCGCATAATGTTTGGTCAGTTTATGTCGACTCATTCTAGTTTGGTTTGGGAATGTTTGGGAGGTGCATACATGGTGATCTCCTTCAACCTAAACACAAAAATGCAGAAACATGCTCGTCTATCACAGGGGCACGGCAATGGATTTAGGTGGCCGGTCAGTGATGGTCAGCCGCGGCATGTGAAGAGACGTGACCCTTCTGATGCATCGCTTAAAAAATCACGACTGCGTTTGTGCAGAAATTAAGGAAAGGCCTCCTTTTTTACGGCCATCGAAATGCGGAAACTGGCGGAAACGAGTCGTTCTGAACTCCTGGATTTTGTGATTGTTGTATTTGTTGCATTTCTGGGCACACTCACTGGCTTCTTGGTTTCAAGTTTCAACCATGTTCAACCCGTCCGCCATGGAGCATGGCCAAGCTGAATGGGATATGAAACAGGCATTCTTTGCCAAGACAGTTGATGGAACAAACTTGAAATATGGCTTAAATATGCTTAAATCACATTGACATGGTTTAAATAGCTTGAAACCATGGTCAGCATTTGCCACGCAGCACTTGCAACAGATTTAAGCATATTTAAGCTATTGATGTTGGGTGGTAGGAGTGCAAACTCCAATTTCCTCAACATGTTTCCTGGCAAACTGTTGTGCCCAAATGACACTGTTTTCCTATTCATTGTTTTCCGGGATTTAATTAGGTGGAGGGTTCGAAATATGCCCGAGAAAGAGCCGCAGCCCTTCATCATTAAATAACATATCTACTGTAGTAATATGTAATAACATATAACTGAGTATTAGTAGCAAAACTTCAAATATCATGGATAAGCAGAACAAGAATTGGAAACAACAATTTTCCTAGTCATTTACTCATGTGTATTCCATCATATTCGCTCAAAGATGGTGAAAAAAGCCTGGACGATGCTTGCCATGCTGGTCATCGAGTGTCGATGCATCAGAATGGTTTGACAGCCTCCCAAAATTCAGGCCACTCCTTGCAATCGGGGTCTTGCAGTCCCTTGTAGCCCTTCCTTAGTCACATGGGACCACGGTTGCAAAATGACTGGGCGAAACCCATCAGTTTTTGCCATGAATTTTCTCCCTCGGTGTCCCGTGAAGTTGGACGGAATTGCGATGAACAAAACGTCAGCTGAGATCATGATGGTCAGATTATCTCACGGGCCATGGACCCATGGACCTAGTTTCACATCCTTTAACCAGTCCTGGGAAACATGACTGGGTCCGAAGATTATTTCAATTTTTGTATCCCAAATTTGGAGGGTTTGTGAGATGAAGCACCAATCACGTTTCACAGCGGGAAACCGGGAAAACCATGGAAAACCACAACAAAAACCATCGTGGATCTACCCCGGGATGCCCCCATTCCCACAAGATTACAACACCATCCCTGCCAAGCAACGACCGTGCCCATTCAGCTTTCTTAGGATCGTTGAAGAAATCCTTCTCCATCTGTTTGCCTTGGTCCGATCTGCATCGCTGGAGCATTTTCAATTGCCCAGGATGCTGAACACATGATGTTTACGTTATATGTTTACTTTTTTTTAGGTTGCAGCTTGTGTATCCTTTTTGAAGTTGCCAAAAATATTCCCAATCTCATCGTTCAAATCCAGGCTCTGGGTTGGATGCTCCTTCACTTAGCTCCATGGTGGGGTCTCACAGCATATGATTTGCATTTTGTGCCCTTAAACTCTGAAACCTCAGTAAACACCTTCCGGCATAACCACTGAAAATCTTGCGATGCCCTTCGTGTTACATAATATCTACGTTCTTGTTACGCTCTTTAAATATCATTTCTTATCAACGTATTTTTGTCCAGTGCCATTTGGCATGACGGAGACCCAGTGGCTTCGAACGCACAGCTTGGCGTAGCGCGCTTCTGGGCCCTGTCCGAGCTGTCAAGCGCTGGATCAATGAGTTTCTAGGAACCCTCGCAGTACAAGAACTTTTCTTATCATCCTTGGACTTGTCATGCCTTGTCATGTTGCCGAATAAAGACGTTACAGTTACAGGTCAATGTGTCTTTTCCTCCAAGCCAAAGAAGCTGAACGCCGCAGGTCAGGTCAAATGCAGGGAGTGATCATTAGTTCATATAAGTTCATTATCCCCCTTGCTAATTCATTGTTCTTCTGCTTCGATAAAAACAACTTCCCCCACCTCAGGGGCTCCCTGCCGCCACCCAATTTACCCCTTTGAAGATGCCAACCCACATTTTACACATCAAAATCCATCAAAAACCCGAGCTTGAACCATTTCTGGAGCCCGGAACCCTGCCGCCCTGGACTCCTTGGTGAAGAGGTAGGCAGTCACCAGCAAAATTCCGCCCAGAATTCCCAGGCCCCCCCTGCGTCCCGCTAAACCCGCACGCCAAGCAGGGACCGTGTCGTCTGAATCTCCCTCCTGGCGAAACGATGGCCAGTGAACCTGGATTTAATAGGATTTAATGATGACTTCGTGGGATTGAGTGGGATTTAGTTAATGCGATTAGACTGGGATCTAATGGGAATATCACCAACAATGCACGTCGGTAATGACTTGGTGAGTTTGCGAGCTGGAAAATCACCACTTTAGGACGGTAAATCATCGAATTTAATGGACCATTTTCATCCATTTTCCAAACTTATGTTACATCACCGGGTATGTATGTGCGCCTGAGTGTGATATAATTATTCACATTCATATTAGAGTGCATGGCGAATCATTAAATATAAATGTGAATATCTGATAATATCGGTATGTCAAATAGTCAATTTGTAGGTAATTGCATATGCACATATGTGTGCGCGCATCGCCCGAGGAAAAAATGGGATGTGACACAATTGGCCCTACCCGCCGTGTTTTTTCGCAACCAGTCGATCCGTGGAAATCAGCTGAATTCATCACTCAGGGCTGTTGGAGATCTATATCGTGTCTGGTTGGTGGTTTTAACCATCTTGAAAAAATATGAAAGTCAATGGGAAGGATTATCCCATATATGAAATGGAAAATAAAAAATGTTTGAAACCACCAACCAGGATGAGTTTAACCATCACTTTTAGGTACTTTGGTAGCCCATTTTCACCAACCATTCACCAGTAAGCTGACACAAGCTGACACATTGTCTTTGTTTATGAAAAATCCAATGGTTTCCTGCACGATTCGTGCGTTTTTGTTGGTCCATTCTTTATCCAGGTCAAATGCTACCATCTGGTTATGACTAACATAGCCATGGAAAATCACCATTTTATAGCTAGGTAAACCACCTATAAGTGGGCCATGTATACCATGGCTATGTTAAATAACCAAAGGGTAATTTTTGCACACCTTCACCATGGAGACTGGAGCCTTTTTTTGCCCCGGTTCACTAGACTGACAGTGTTTGTGTTGGAATCTTGGTTCATTTTAACTGCCAGGTGGATTCTGGGAACTACCATTTATCAATTTATCCAATTTCAATACATAATAAAACTATATAAATCTAGTAATGCCAAATCTAGTAATTTATCCAATTTTACTGCCCCAGTCCCCCTCCTGTGCTCTAAGTGAGATCACCGCGTCGCGATGACATGACCTGCCGGACCTGACCGGCCCCGGCCCACAGAACACCTGAGCAGCGGCCACCGATGCCACCGATGCCAGAGTTTTCCCACATGAATTGGGTCAGGATCAACGGGATTTCCCACAGGATTTTTGAATAAATCTATCAATGGATTGGCGGGAAAATCGAAGCTGGAAACCATCGATTTTCCCATTAAAGATGCGTTTTTCCTGTAAATTTTCCCTTAAACCAATCCATTGAATCTAATGGGATGTAATGGGATCTAATGGAGCTTAATGGGATTTGATCGGATTTACAATGATTTATTATATATATATATATATTATTAAGTGGATATAATTGGGATATACCCAGCAATAACGGGATGAAATGGGGCTTTACCATCCGGTACTTTGTTGCATAGGTATGGAAGCCACGGGCCATTTAATTCAACGATTTACGTCGGTTATCATCGATTTACACTTCTTAAACAATATGTAGATATGTCACTATAATATAAATGATGTTTTTTTTAAATAATATTTAAATATCATATCATCATAATAGTGACTTTCCAGTTTGGCATGTTAGCTTAATATGATAATATGTTTAATTAATGTAGTTTGCCAGAGGGTAGATGATGACTGGATATCAGAGATGAGTGTACAAATGAGACGATGAGCCTGGAGGAGCTTCCTTGTCCCAAAATGCTGGTATTTGGCACCCTTGATCAGTAACCTGCTAAACAGAAACACAGGGTGCCCCAATGAAAATGACATGAACATCCGAGCAAAAATGAAGCGATTGTTTTTTAGACAGGACTATATGAAAAATATGAGGTGAATGGGTGTGCTTTAGGAAACCTTCAGTGGGGCTGGTGCAATGCTCTGAGATCTATGTTAGGATGCTCAGATGCTCTAGCTGAAACTGGTGACACGTTTGCTGAACACAATGCTTGGCCAGGAGGCCTGCCCTCCATGCTGCAGAAAGTCAATGACACATACAGTAATTGAGTCACCCTGCCGACCTGGACAACTTCTAGATGAACTATGATGAACTGTGATATCACTTCATAACCTTGTTTTCATAGGTTCCCTTGCCAAATGCTGCCGAACTTGAGTTGGATTCCTTGGCGGGCTGCTTGATGTGCACCAAACAAGGCCAGAAGGAGCAGGAGGGAAGACCGCAGCGTCTTCGTAGCCATGGCAAGGTCACAATACGACGGCAGTGACTCTGTCAGTTCAATTTCAATAGCAGTTTGAGAATGGGCAAAGTTCAAAAGTATTAGCAACTCGTTTGAGCATTTTTTTCTCTGCGAAATGTTCACCTCGTTTCTGATGCTTTCGGTGCACAAGGCGAACAGCGAACATGGAGTTTCCAACTTTGAGCCAGATCTGTTTCAGACAAAAAAATCCTCACTCCACATGGTGCACCCGGAAACTTGTCAAAGTTGCAGTCAGAGCCAGCATCGTTTTGCATTTGTTCATTGAATGAAGAAAAAAACGATTGAATATTGATTGAACGGCATTACAACAAATAGCGCTCATGTTCTCAACCGTTCATATTGAGTATCAACATCAGACTGGATTATGAAAATAAAACCCTGCAACCATCAGCCCAAAAAATCACAAAAAAAAGTTCAAAGTTGGATAACAAAAAACGTGTTGTTGGGTGCCACCCCACCGGGCATCGAACATACAATCCACCCACCTAGAGACTCATTTCGGCCATCAACATGAATACAGCATTTGGGGGTAAATATGGTGCACGGATTCAGGGGAAATGAAAGCCTCCGTACTTATGAGATGAACATGGCCCAGTGGACTATCAAACGCCTTGGCTAGGCGGCTAGGAAGTATCTTCCAGATATTTCTCGACAAAATCTATTCAAGGTTGTTTTTTCTCGTTGTTTTTTTGGGTGGAGGACCACATGCACCTGCTTTTTAAATCCCAAATGCACTAAAGATATGGTGAAATTGCATGAATGTGTTTCGATTCCGACCCCTGCAGGCTTACATTCCCCCCTTCACGTGTACTAAGAATCACCAAGGACAAGGCCGCATATCTGCTCCGAGCAAGGCGACATCTTTGCGACTCGGGCGTGCAAACCCTGAAAACGAAGAGCTGTACTCTGCTCGGGTATGTTTTGGACCTAAGCATGAACACAGCATGGCAGCCACATGGAGGATACACCCCTGAGGAAGTGAAACTTAGCTTGAGTCAGTTGAATGTGGAGCACAACATTTCACCCAAACTGGGATGGAATGAATATATATATATATACATATATATATACATATATATATACATATATATATATAAATATGCGTGTGTGTGTGTATGCATTATTATTACTATTACTATCACATATTAGATATTATTAGATATATTTTTAATCGTTATTATATGTTATTATCACTATGGTGACCCACAGAACGAAAGCCAAACTCCTATTTCAGGTTTGGTAAGTTACTTTAAAAGTCTATTTTTTGGGGCCTCTATGCACATTCAAAGAATTCACGGCCAAACGTCTACCCAACCCGTTTTTTTTTCCACATCAAAGTTTCAGCCATGGAAGTGATTGAACACCAAGCGAACCAGGCCCCATTCAGAACAGACACCATTATATAGTGTTGGAGGTCCCCTCTTGTAATCAAACGTGGCCACGCACAATCACCTTTTTTTCTGGAGGGTCTTTTTGGGCAAAATCATCGTAAATCATCGGACTGGGTGTGCAAAATTGCCGTGTTTGATGACCGGAGGGTAATGTGGCATCAATGCCGCGGATTTTCCACCATATCCTCATGACTATTATAACCGTTGTCATTGGTTTTTTTTCCCTACTTCTGTTGGTTGTATACCCAGGAAATCCATAGTAATCCCCATTATTTAAGTGGGATAAGCCCGAAAAAATGTGGATATTTAAGTGGATATTTAAGTGGATCCTCCACAAATGGAATTCCGAAAAAAAGACATTTGGGATACACCGAAAATGACACCAAAATCCTCCCTCATCCCCATGGAGAAGCGCAGTAAAACTCACCGATGTCCATGGCACGGTCTACGGTCGTTGGATGGCAAGTTGGACGGTCCTTGGTTGAAGAAGTGTTGATACATGTTGCTACAACAAGGTGCAAGTCACAAGTTATGTTAAGAAATTAAAAGATTTTTTCCAGCTCCAAGGTTTCCATGTTGGATGAAATCGAAACATGGAAACCAACAGGGACAGCGACTCGGTGAAAAAATGCAGTGCTGAAAGGCTTCTTTTTTTCCATCATGACCTGCATGGCTCGTCCCTATGCTAAATACCTATGCTATGTGCATATGTGTAATATGTAATAACGTGTAATTAATATGTAATTATATATATATATGCACGCATGTGTGTGTGTTGTCATTTGTGCGTGTGTGTTGTCATTTGTATATATCATTATATATACATATGTATATATATCTATATATATATATATCATCAGAATTTCTAATTTTAAGAAAGATGGGCAATGAAAGCATGCCCATGACTTTGCAAACGCCCAGCCCGCCGAGACATGCCGAGACCCGCAGAAGCTGGACACTGAACGCCATCATGTTGTGTTTGCTCCCATTTTTTCGGATGAACAAATCCAGAACATGCAAAATTACCCTCTGGTAAACAAACATAACTATGGAAAATCACCATTTATATGCATTTATAATAGGTAGATCAACTATAAATGGGCCAATTTCCATAGAAGGTACATCAAATTGCAGTCAAACCCTGGCCATCTGATCCTCTTGCGGCACCTTGGGAGCCAAGTTGCCAAAAAGAATTGCCCTGGTAGGCCTAAGGCCTTGGGCAGGGACGTTTCAGCCCTTTTCTTCCGGGCAAAACATGATGAATCCCCTGTTGATTCATTATGATTGAATCACCCTACCCTCTGGTAAACAAACATAACTATGGAAAATCACCATTTTTGATGGGTGAATCCACTATAAATGGCCATTTTCAATAGCCATGTTAGTTTACCAGAGGGTAAATCTCCCAAATGAAATTGACCTTGAGATGAATCTTGAATCCACCTGTCGAATTGGGTTTATGATCCTCTTCACCTGAGCATGGAACATGATGGCCCGCCACTCCAGCATCAACCAACCAATGTTTAATAATGTTGTCAAAACACATGAGCAATTCAACACATAAATTCAAAATTGCCTGTATACTGCACATGGAAATACACACACATATACACATATATTATTACGTGATTACATGATATTACATGCATTTGTATGGATAAATATCCATAGGTCCATAGAAATATATTGAAATAGAAAAATATACATCTATATCATCTATGGATATTTATCCATACAAATGGCCATAGATGATCATAGATGTATAAATATCCATAGAGATCTTTTTTGGCCGGTGCATCCCATCATTGCGCCGAAACGGCGATGCCAAGAGTCTCGACAAAGAGTTTCATCCCCGCGTCGTTGAGGCGATCCACCAAGCTTTGGCCCAGCCCCGAAGCGGGCCTCGCCGGGCCAAACATGGCAAGGTTTCATGGTGAAACATGGGAAACATGTGGAACAATTCTGGAAAAATGATGAAAAATGTGGGTTGATATGGTGGTTTTTTGTATCGTTTGATCTGTTTTATCCAGTAAAAACTGTGAATTTGACCAATCAAGTATGGTTTGTTTGTTACTTTTTATCGGCAAAAGTGCCGGAGATGGTTGATATTGAGCACTAGGAATATAGTTTTAAGCATCAAATAAGCTGTTCAACCAGCAAATTAAAAGAATTCACCACCAAATTTGGGGGGAACTGAGGTAAACATACGGAGTTAGCTAAGCAAAGCAGCAATTAAAGGGACGGGTAGGATTGAAATCTTTGGTGTTCACAGAAACCGACACTACCCACCCAAAATAGTAATCCTTATTTCCATGGTTTCTGTCAAAGCGCTAGATTGGGGAGGAATAGACTCTAATTACAGTAGCGATTATTGCCATTGCTTCAATAAGCTTGAACACGATCAAACAATTTTGAAATAAATTCCACTTTGACATATTGTTCACCAAATATGCGAGACTCTCTCAAAGATGGACCCCAAAGGGTTGGCATGTTGGCTATGAAACTTTTCAGCTGTAGCTTGTAACACAAATGCTAGTGGAATCAAGAGGAACTGAAACATGGCCCACCTCGATTCAATTTTGGTTAATATAGGAATTCCCGTTGATCATGGAGACTTCCCAACATATTGGTTCGTATCCCATTCTTGATCCATCCCTGTGACTTTCTCATGGCAAATATGACCCAGCGATAAGTCTTCATTGCATCTTATTACCCATATTATCATAATATATCATAATAGTTCCCTTTATTTCCCATATTCCATTATCATATTCATTCTCCTATTTGTAGATGATAATCGCCGAACTCGCGAACTAACATAACTAACTATGGAACATACACTATTTTTACTAGGTAAATCAACCAATATCAACCATAACTATGGTAAAATCACCCATTTTCCATTAAAAAAAATGGACAATCACCTGAATCAACTATAAATGGTCATTTTCAATAGCACACTGTCAGTTTACCAGAGGCTCCCCCAAGGCACGTGTGCACTCCGCCAGCTGCCAACTTCTCACGCTGCAGCGCGCAACACAAGGCGCTCTCAACAGACATCAGCGCTGTGCCTTGGTTCGACGAAGGCAGAGCTGGGAAATCCCCCTGGAAATGAAGATGTCACTGGAAAAATCAGCAGAAGAATATAAGTTTTAACATGGTTTAAACTATTTTTTCTTTGTTGTGACTAGCACCCCTTGGGCTATGCTTTGTACACATATATTTTTATGATGGGATTGTCGCATCAGCCAGGGAGCTAAAAAACCAATCATTCTCGTGCTTGCACTGCCCATACATTGAAGACTTGAACATATGGCGATTTTGACCAAGACATGCTGTTTTTAGCTACAAACAAATTGGGATGGTGCAAAAATCACCAGCAAGAACAAGGATTCAGCTGGCAAAAAAAATGTATAGCCAACACGAACATACACGAACTAATCGAAGATATATTGCGGTTTTGATACTGGGAAATTTACTCAAAAACTGATATCTATGTTGACTCAATCTATGTATAGGAAAACAATAAGGGTATTTTCACTGAGTTAACTGACAGCAACTTCAGATTTAAGATGCTCAACATATTTCAACATGTTTAAGCATGAAGAAACATGAGACGACAATAGATGCAGTAAACTTGAAGTCGCAGGTCACCTCAAGAGGCCGTAACGCCCGCTGCCGACCTTTGGGGCGACCCTGGTTTTTCACATGCGACCTATGGGAATCATATCGCAATACAGAAAAATATATGAACATGTAATAATATTTATATATATATATATTTAGATATAGATATGTATAATACACATGTAAAAATATAAAATACAGTATACATCTATATATATATATATACATATTATACATCTATTAAGATCGTGAAAGGAATTGAATGGATTCTCAACACCTTCCATTTCCACAAAAGGGCCTAGTTATGCCCAGTTGCATTTGTAGCCAGGATCCCCTCCCGTGCCGCTTTGCACCTGACATCGGGGCGACGTGGATAAAAAAGGCACCAGTGACCCCCAGTGAAAAGGCCATTTTATGCCTAAGAAATCCCAAGAATATGAGTTGGTGAGATTTTGAAGGCCGATGTTGAATTTTGAGCCATATCTATTCAATTCTATTCATGCTCAACTTAGGATTGACGCTTGTTGGAAGGCACTCTCTGGTTGTTTGACATGGTGGTTGGCAAAATCGGTTCAAAAAGAAAAAACATTTAAAAAAACTGGATATCGGATATCGGAGTAATCGTCCATTGCCAAAGAAATGCCACAGGGGTCTGAGAGTATCCTCGGAATCCTCGGCTAAAAAAATATGGCAATGACGATGATCTTGTCCCATGATATATATTCAAAAAAAGAACAAGCAACGTAACTAATGTGGGCAAAACACTAATAAACCATCCCCCAAATCACCATCTTCATAGGTGGTATGTTTACCATTCCCAGTCTTGGGTGGTTTATGGCATTGTTTTACCCACATCAATTCTGGTATATTCTGGTGTGATTACCCTCTGATAAACTAACATAACTATGGAAAATCACCATTTTCAATGGGTAAATCCACTATAAATGGCCATTTTCAATAGCTATGTTTGTTTACCAGAGGGTACCTTTCGCAATGACCATGCGCTGTGACCACACCTGTGCTGCCACTGTGGGATGCTTTCCATCCTTCAGGTTCTCACCCCGTGCCACGGCGCGCACAGTGAAGTATCCCTCCTGGAATCACCGAAGGACTTGGTTGGATCCATAGGGAAAGGTTGGATGTTGAACGTGTTTTATATTTAAAAAGTAATAATATATCGATTCCTAGTTTCAAATCTAAATTTGGTAGCATCACTAGCTGTAGCGAGTATTGTTGCAGAGTGACGCCTTGGAGAGTTCCAAACATTGCATCCGATAGGAACACCTATAGCCTATTGGGTGCCATGTGATAATGTCATACAAGAATTGGACTTGACTTGGAACCTGAAAAAAAACGAATGCCAATACTTCAATAATTGGTTGAACAATGTTGAAGATCTACATCTGTGATTGGCTGCTTACAATCAAGAATCAAACCCCAGGGCTTCCAGGGGCTTCCAGGCCCTCAGTCCTCCATGGCTTTCCTGGAAGGCCCTTGTCCAGGGGATGGCAGGGCCCACTTCGTGAGAGCCCAGCGCGTGGGTGGAAAGACTGCAGACCCGCGGTTGCGATGTTTGTTGGACGTTGAAACGACACTCCACTTTGTTTAAAAAACGCATCTTGCCAAGGGAATCTCGCGAAAGAGTTTAGGAAAAAAACATGAACCAATTGTGTGGGAAAGTTTCCTAACCGACAAGCCACAATAAATTTCACCTAGCAGGTCTTCTCTCAACATGAGAGCCATAGGATGGGTGCTCGAAGTCTCAGATCGCTGGGATGCACATTGTTGACCATGTCGTGAAAAAACATCGATGGAAGCAACATTTCAACCATGGACCACGGTTGTAGGATGCATTCAACTGCATGCGTTGTTTCTTTCTGATTTGGGCTGGATACATCTGGATACAGTAGTACATCCGGATTTATAGAGGTTGAAGTACAACCTTAATTATCCATCAAAGGCGTACCCAGAAACTCAGTAATACGTCCAGACCATTCCAGAGATAAAGTATGATAAAGTGTTCCCCTGTTCGAAGCTGGATGGTTCTTCACGCTGGGACCCCGAGAAGAGCTGCTCAGTCAGAAAGGTAATGGCACGGAATGGCAAGTAATCTCATCTCCTTTTTTTGAAATACATCTGGAAGCTGCCATTTTTTTTGCTTTTGCTACAATCAAGCGCTTTGCCAAAAGACAACCACGGATTGTTTCTATCAAAAACTGAGCGTTTCCCGCACTTAGCTGAAGGTTGGAAGAGGCAGATACAAAAAAGATGCATGAAATTTGGATTTGCGGACGTGTGCGGCTATTTGCTAGCGTTTGCGGTGTACTTGCAAGCGTTTTGCAGGTAATTCTTGTCGAGCCCATAGCAATCCGAATTCCGAAACTGAGACAGAAAGACCGCATTTCATGAAAATGTGTTCTTAAATAGCAAGTATGGTGTTTACAGTTGTTGCGGGCAAAGTTCTTGTGTCAACAAAATCTTGTCGTTGCAGGGTCCAGGCAGTGACCCCAGGCCCACGCCGACACGCCGAGGGCTCTGTGCAACCCAGTGACGCAAAAGGCCAACGACAAAGCCCATGCCGGCCTTTTTTGAAGCCCCAAAAGGCGGGACGAAAGGAGGGACATGGATCAAAGCTTTGCGGGCTGTTTCCTACATCGTGTGTGACACACGCACACACACACACATATATATATATATATCTATCTATATGTGTGTGTGACAAATATATATATATATAGAGCCAACTATATATATAATTATAGAGAGGTAGAGAGAGCGCCAAATAATAAATATATAAGTTGGCCCATACAACTTAGCGATACGTTCAGTTTGTGGCTCTGGTGGATGACAAGATATGACATAGGGCGAGCACCAGAAAATTATGTCATGCCCATGTTCCGTTTGCCACTTGGGCTTCTCATGACCTGGGGAGTTGGGTACGTAACATTCATGTCAACTGGATTGGTTGGTGGTTGGTATACCTACCCCTCTGAAAAATGATGGAGTGCGTCAGTTGGGATGATGAAATTCCCAATATATGGACAAATAAAACATGTTCCAACCACCAACCGGATAATGTCAATATTAAGTATATCACATACCACCATACCTGTTCTTACGTAGTGTGACCAAAAACCCCCAAGTGATGCTTCGTAATTTCTTGGTCTACAACGCGTTCCTCCACTTGGGTTTGTTTCAAAATTGAGTTGAAACCATCCGAAATCAGTGAATCATCATAATTACATATAATTACTAATCATCATTCCCCTTTCATTAAGTTAAAAACCCCCCGTTTTCAGGTACCATCCAGCCATTTCTGAGATGCAGCCCCCAAACCTCCCGCCAAAGTACCGTACCCAACCATCCGCTGATGGGGCCAGGGACAGCCATGCCTTCACCATAGCCTGGTTGGACGTTGAGATCCACATTTCTGTGGAGAATCACGGAGAATCCTCAAATTTCTTGGTTAAAAAAGGTGCAATGAGTGCAATGCCAACTTTCTGCTTAAGATTCTTTATGAAACGATAAAACCCTTAATTTCTGCCTCAATCCGTGTAGTAGTGGAAGCAGCGTTTTCAGTGTATGCAGAGATATATATATATATATAAATAGATATTATAGATAATAATATGTGTAATATATATATATATATATAAATCATTAACACCTCCCCGTCGGACTCACACGTAACGTGCCCAGTGACTGACTCCCTGGCCATACTCGTAGCCCATGAGGGCGTTGCTGCGACGCACCGTGCGAGTACTGGGATTGGACAACCTTCTGCCCAGCAGTCACCACACACCGACACCCCTATGGCCCTATGACTGCTCTTGTTGCCATGTAGTATACCCATCTATATATATATATAGATAATATATATATACATAACACATGATGCCATGCAATGACATCTGGTTCGTGGTTTCAACCCCTCTGAAAAATATTAGTCAAATGGGAGTATGGTTCCCAATATATGGAAAGTCATGATCAAGCCATGTTCCAAACCACCAACCAGACATATATGACAAGACTGATCACAATTTGCTGATCCAATGAAAATAACCTATGACAGATGACCTTGATTCGCCCCCTGCATCCGCTACATGTAAACCCTATCGCCATTTTTCACCCCATCCCAGCCATCCCAGCCACGCAACGGGCTAAACATCAGCCAGCGTTCGCTCAAGTCATCCCAGCGTGGCAAGTTCGTGTCGCCGCCGTCCGCAGTGTCGGGGCCGCGCTGGCTGCCGCTGGGGTTCATGCCGTAGGGATCCTTGAAGGCCTCTGCGTTCCTGGGATTTAGGTGGTTTTAGGGTCTCCAGAACTGGGGAATCAGCAATGAGGAGATTTCACCAGGTGCTAAACTGTTTAAAACATTTTGAAAACCATTGGATTCAGTACGTTCCCGGTTTTTATTCACTCCTAGGCTGGAAGGGTACCAGGGAAGCAGGGGATGATCCCGAATGTCTTTCGCATGTTTGGGGCCTCAACCACCAGAGAGTCTCCGCAGATGAGTTTGTCTGATATGGTACCTCCAATTCCAAGGGATTAAAATTTCATTTTCCCATACATTCCCATACTTTCCCCATTCAAAACGAGGTTCTGATCCCCCTAAACACCGAGCAACTCCACGTCTGATGACAACAAGTGAAGGCCGCTGTGGATGGTGCCACCACTGACGCCCCCCCTCATAGATACCTCGGTCTAGTTATTGGGAGCATTCCAAAATCCACACATCTTGTGGCTGAAACGCCCCCGCTGTGACTACCTGGCTGTTTAGACTCCCTCGAAACATATGTCAATCAGGAATCAACATCTCCACATCGGCAAGTTCCATGCACTGCCTATGTACATTAAAAAATGCAATATCTGTAGTATGGAGAAACACATGTGTGCATATATACATATATATACATATATAGTAATTATATGTATACGAATAAATGTGTATATATATAAATATAATTACATATATATATATACACATAGTTATACAGTACACGTGTTTCCTTCAAAATACTGGATTCCCCAAAAACTTGATCAATTATGATTATGATGGTAGCCGGAAAGGTTTGAGGTATGTCCAATAAGAGAAAATATGTGCAGCATCAGCCTTGAATGCCTTATGTATATATATATATATACATAAATATATATATATGTGTGTACATAAACATAATTATATATCCTTTACACGCTTTTGTTCATAATTACACCGCGAATCATTTACAAACGTACATCTCTTGATCATGTGCATATGCAATTACACATGTAAATATTTATGCCAGGGTAAGTAAATAAATGACAAAATAAAAATATGTATACAATGTAAACATATATATATATGAATATGAAAATATATTTACACACGTATATATATAATTAAATATATGTTTAGAAAAATACAATGTGTTTGCTATCTATATTACAAATATACATATCTATCTATATATTATATATGCACGGTATACATTATACAACTGCAGGTGCCCTCAAAGTTTTTCAAGCGACCGCATTGCGAATCTTGCTGCAGGCCATGCCGTGCCTTTCTCGCATGGCTTTGGCGGCCATGAAGGCCTCGTTTTCGGGAGAATGGCGGATACATTCACCAGATCTTCACGAGAAATTGGTGGTTAATAGTGGTTAATAATGGTTAATCTTATGTGAATAATGATCGTTAATAGTGGTTAATAGTGGTTAATAATGGTTAATAATGTTGGGTTTCTATTTTTGATCATATATAGCTAATTTTTAAAAATGACTGGCTGTTTGGTGGTTTGGAAGATGGCTTTTATGACTTTCCATATATTGGGGAATAGCAACCTCAACTGACTAATATTTTTCAAGATGGTTGAAACCGCCAACCAGCTAACATATTGGGTTACTATTGGGTTAATGGTGGGTAATGATTCATAATGCTTCATGATTTTAATCTCTGGCAATTTGGCTAACAGTTTGCTATTGAACATGACCATGTATTTCATTGATTTATCTATGAAATGAAAAGTCAGGATTTTCAATAGCTGACTGTTAGTTTACCAGAGGGCATATGGGAGTCCATTGACATATGGTTAATTATCATGGAACAAATATGAACAAATGACCCAGAAAATAAGGGATTTAGCCAATGGTTCCACTTTGATGTTTGATAAATGGGCTGATATGAGCTGTACACAAATGCGAACATGGATCCTAATGTCAGACATGATTCAGAGCGATGGGTTGCCTTAAGCATCAACTACAGGAAAGTTGGGTCGGCATTGGGCCGCATGTTGTCGACTTAGGTCACGAATCACATGATTGCGATCTAAGGAAACATGATTGCCAGAGACTGCTCAAAACCCCTCCTAGAAAGATAACCCGAATGGCTTTTGCTCTCATGATTCTTGGGCGGGTTAGCCACCTATCTGAGAGGCAAGTGAGGCAGTTGGTTAGCCGATCACGGGCAACTCCCCCGCTCAGTGGGTTGATTTCAGGGAATATGACAAGGAAAAAACTGTTTTGAACTGCAGGGTTTAATTAATTGCATTAGAATGATTGTTAGGGAGTTCCTGTGACTTTTCAACATGTTTCAACCAAGTCACCAAGAGACCGGTCGTCTATAACAAGATCCCGCCACCAGTGGGGTAATCTTTAGACATCGGCAGACTCCCCGCTCTGACATCAAGTTGCGGCGATGTCACAAGGAATGCTATCGAAACCACAGCTGTGAAGAATCCTCGGCTCTTCGCTTCATCGAATCGTGGTAGCTGGGTTTTCACTGATGTTAACTATTTGATATACCCTTACAGCATATCCCCTTATATCCCCTTACAGCATCTTGTAGCGTAAACTCTGGCTTACTAACAATCTTACAGAAAACATCCTAGATATCCTAGGGTCCTAGAACATAGATCATCATCCAAATGAGTTGGAGGATTGTGTTCGTCCAAGTGATCGGGGAATAGCATGGAAACAGCTGTGACAACAATGGTTACGAAGCAGTTGCTTAAAATAAACACGGCCACCAAATTACAAGATTGATCAAGATTGGAACTGGAAACCAGTGATAGTGATAAATACTTAGTAGGACACCCTCAATGTTGATGTGGAACATTCAGATTGGCCATACCAATCGTGGGAAGCATCTTCCAACCCCCATTGTTACTGCTGGTTCCGTGGTTTTTCTCAGGGTAGGATCAGAAAATGCCTAACAAAAATCCATGGACCAATCACCAGCCATCCTGCTAGAAGCTGTATTCAGCGGCTATGCCACCATCCCGGTACCATGCCGGCACCATGCGCGTGACATGACAAACTTAAATAAGGAACATGAGAACTTCATATGGCAATTCCACGCACCAAGAAAAAGTGACGCAAGCGTGCTCACTGCTCACTATCATCGTCACTCTCGTCTTCTTTCCCTCCCTTCCCCTCCATCCACATCCATCAAACCCAAATCAACATACAACGTCAAGCAACAATCTTTGGGTCACATCTGGGGTTGGCTAAAAACCAGGTGCCAAGAAATCCCATGCCAAACATGGAGATGGTAAGTTACCTCCCATATTTCTGCCAAAAAAAACATGGGAATATAATATATAGTCTGTAGCTGTCTGTAGCATTGGTAAACTTATAGCACCACAGGCGGCACAGATCGAGTCATTCGAGTCTCAAGGCCTTGTTCTCTTTGGCTTTGGCATCGTACATCTCTGCCGAGGTCTTCATGAATGGCGCTTCCCCAGTGATGTCCTGAGGAGTTTTTTTTTTCGGAAGAGCACCATGGAATGGGAAGAGGAACCGGTCCGAAATACAGAGAAACTGTATATATTTATGGATCATAGAACCCCAGAACATCATAGAACATCAGAAAAGGTAAACCATCGGAGTTTTGATCATGACCAATGATAGCAAAAAACGTTGTATTGACTTATCTTGAAGGACGATGTGGTGCCCAGAACCTTCTGACAACAGCTAAAGATATCTACATAATAAGATGAGTCAGGACGAGCTGAACCTTGGTTTGTTGACCTCGACTTTTCGTTGCTCAAGCTTCCCCGACAGAGAAGCCTGTGTTTGGCAGGATGCCCACAGTAGCTTTCATTTTTTTCATACGCAACTCTGCTTACCAACAACTTTGGATGTCTAAACCATTATAATCAACTCTAAGCAACAGAAACAAAACAACAAAAACATGGGTGTGTATATTGTATTTTGGTCATGGGTTTATATACTACCCTCTAGAAATCAACCAGCTATCCTGGAGGAAATTGTTTGATCCACCAAAGACAATCAGCCAGATACATCAATATGGGGGTGGATAATCCCTGGTTGACATCACGGACTGCATATATCCTCTTCATGTGCTGCAATTGCTTTCCGACCTTGCTAACTTTAGTTGCTTCAAATCAGGAGTCCTGATTTACATCCGGTTGTTCATGCAGTTATGTTCAACTAGGTATGTGCTGCTGAAATCATTCATTTAGGTTGATTTACATATCTAGTAAATTCAAACAGATCTTGACAATCCACGATTTGGACCTCATTCCCAGAATGGGAAACCCATGGATCTCCATATCGTCTTCTCAGTTTATCAGACGCTAGCCTCTCGTTTTTTTTTCACTATGGAACATCATAGCAACATCATTGTTCATAAATCGAAGTTAATGGGCCATCTATACCATAGCATTAAATAGAAATAGCATACTTTAGCTTTGCCAGGCCTTGCCATGTGAAACCGGTGACATCCGGTGACCCCACAACGCCCAACGGCCCCGTGCGACGACGCTTTCTGAACACGGCGTCCACGTAACAACAGCCGTTGGAGGCGCAGGCGTCCACCACTGGCAGGGCCTGTGAAACTGGGCAAGTCTGAGATATGTTAGTTTTCAAATGTGAAAACATGTTGAAAAACATGTTGAATGAATTTGAATGATATATTCTGCAGTTGCCCAAAAATCCCGGTTTCGGACTTTCGCACTCGGGCTCTTTGAAAAAGTTAGAAAGTGATGTGTCAAAGTGGGCACGTGGCTTTTCATGTCTAGCATCCAAGCATGCATTTTTTATGTTAGCTTTGTGAGCATGTCACCGCCATCAAGGGGTTTCACCATGTTTCACCATTCTTCCGCAGTCCGCAGTCCGGTGGTCTATCCTTCTCCAGTCGGGCCTTGTCGGCATAGGGGCTGCCAGCAAAGTTCAGGATCACTTTGGCTTTCTTGGCCACTTCCTCCGCGGCGGTGTTGAAGATCACATGGGGGCCCCACTTTTTTTCAGGTTGCAAAGGAACAAACATGATAAACGAGTAATTAATCAAAATCCAATGAAACTGTGAAACAAATCACCAGCCCGCAATTTTTCGGTACATTCACTACCAGACAATTAAAAAAAAAAACTACAGCATATTATCGCAAAAATGGGTGGATATAGGCTTATGATTCACCAAGTCTAGCGCCACAAAACATGAATAACAAAAAAAAACAGCACTCTATCTAAGACTTAGACCCTCCAAGTACCCATCAAAAAATCTCCATAAGATTGAATAAGCACTTAGACCCTCCAAGTGCCCATCAAAAATCCATAAGATTGAATAAGCACTTAGTGCCCCCAAGTACCCATCAAAAATCACCATAAGATTGAATAAGCACTTCGACCCTCCAAGTGCCAATCAACAAAATCAACATAAGATTGAATAAGCACTTAGACCCTCCAAGTGCCCATCAAAAAATCACCATAAGATTGAATAAGCACTTCGACCCTCCAAGTGCCAATCAACAAAATCAACATAAGATTGAATAAGCACTTCGACCCTCCAAGTGCCAATCAACAAAATCAACATAAGATTGAATAAGCACTTAGACCCTCCAAGTGCCCATCAAAAAATCACCATAAGATTGAATAAGCACTTCGACCCTCCAAGTGCCAATCAACAAAATCAACATAAGATTGAATAAGCACTTAGACCCTCCAAGTGCCCATCAAAAAATCACCATAAGATTGAATAAGCACTTAGGGCCCCCAAGTACCCATCAAAAATCACCATCAGATTAAATAAGCACTTAGGGCCCCCAAGAACCCATCAAAAATCACCATCAGATTAAATAAGCACTTCGACCCTCCAAGTGCCAATCAAAAAATCACCATAAGATTGAATAAGCCCTCCAAGTGCCCATCAAAAAATCCCCATAAGATTGAATAAGCACTTAGACCCCCCAAGTGCCCATCAAAAAATCACCACAAGATTGAATAAGCACTTAGACCCTCCAAGTGCCCATCAAAATCTATAAAAAAAATCACTAAAAGTCAATTTTTTCATCATGGGTATCTGGCTGCAACGGGCCTGGAGCTCCTCCACATTTTTCACATCCACCTGGCTCACTTGGAAAGCCCCAGTCGTGAAATCCTATGCTCACCAAAAAAATGAAAAAACATGGGAAATATGGGTTGATATGGTTTCATCGGGATAATCTCGGGATGATGGGATAAGAGATTAAAGTTATCACTATTCTTGTAGGATTTGACTGTTATCTTTAGTGGGGGTCGCCCTTTTCGAGGCACTTGGTAAGTGCACCCTGAGGCAGCCGGCACTGCGGCACTGGGAATGAATCTGCAATTGACGTGGAAAAAGAAACCGTTTCAAGAGGTCAAGTTTCAACATCTTCAAGCAATGGAAAGATGTGGACAATAACAATTTATCAATTTTTGGAATGTTTCCAGTTCTCCACATTCATAATGATTGGAGACGTAACTGGCCATAATGGATATCTTAGGACGTGCTGCGCATCAAAACTCAGGTGGCCAACTGACCTCCCAGCAAAATGTGGAGGTCACAGGGGGGTCGTCACGAAAAAGTCGTCCAGTCAGATGTGTGAAGCATGGTGACCTACCCGATTTGCATCGATTTACCAGGTGCCAAGTTCACAGATATAGCATGATATACCATGATATACCACAGATATAGCATGATATACCATGATAATATATAACATGGCTGTCGAATTTTCCTGGTTTCAACGGTCACCGTTAGATTAATATGGTCATCCATCCTGCAAAAATGGACTGATGAAGCCGACCCAAAAACTGGGCACTGGCCCAACTGTTATCTCAATCTATTCCCATTACATTCTCTGATCTCTTTACCCCCATTTCTTTACAAACAATTGCTAGGTAAATCCCAACCAAAAAACAGCAGTTATTACCATCATATATCTTCTCCTTCCAAAAAAGGGAAAATAAACACAATTATATAAACACATTGATTTTTTAAAAAAAAAAACACCAAAACAAAAACACCCCCACGAAATAACACCATGTTTCCCATAGCTTCCCATGGTTTCTGTCATGGTTGGAATCCCTTGGATCCAACAAAGGATCCGTTGGATCTGCACCTGGAGAAGTGGGATCTCTTTGGCGCCCTGGGCAACCAACATATCAAACAAGGGGCTTAAACAAGGTTGAACAACATTATTTTTTCATATGTTTGATATGTTTTGGTATGTTTGAAAAAAAATTAGGTGGAACTGGAACATCAATGGCAATTCATCAGTGATTTAAAGCATGGTCAACCTTAGCTATCCTTCATCAAAACCAAAAAATTAAGGGCCAAATTCTCACCAACCATTCGCCAGTCGATTTGCCTCGACCCGGTAGGAAACACCTCAAACAAACCTGTGAAAATCCCTCATTTTTCACCCAGCGAAATCTGGGTCTCTTTGGCAAAAAAAACGGTTTCATCTCTCAGTGAAGCATTAAGGGGCGAGTGGCAAACCATGATGGGTGCTTTTCCATCCGTTTGCGGCCGCGGAACCCAAATAGTAAGCACATCTACGTGTTTGAGATTCAGTTTCAAAAACCTCCGGAACAAATTAAGGACCCCCAAACTGATTGAAGATGGAAAACAATCAGACAATCCTTTGAAATCTCTTTAATTAATTTGGAAAATGTGGATTTGCTGATCCGCCACAAAAAAGTGAACACGTTCCCAGATACCGCAGGAAAATGGTGGATCAAAGCATTTGGTCTATCAAGATTCGACAATGCCACTCAAATTTGTGGTTCAAAGTGGGAAAATCATACATCATCATGAATCATCATGAATCATAACTCATCATAAATCGTAATCATCATTGATCAAAATCATCATAAATCGTAATCATCATGAATCATCATAAATCATCATTAATCATCCAAGTCTCAAAAATCCAAGGCGGATATTTGAGAAAACTGGTGGAAAATTCAGTTCTCACCGTGAGAAAATCGTCCCCTCCGCCTGGGGCAAGTCTTGCCTCACAGCTTCCAGCTTGGCCAGGTCCCGGCCGGCCATGGCCCAGTGGACCTCGGGAGCACCTGGAGAGAATGGGCCATAAGGTGATGGAACATTATTGGAAAATCATGGGGCAATATTGGGTAAATGGTCTCAAGATGGTAGGATAATAATGGCAACATAGTTGCAAAAATGCTGGGACAATTGTGCACTGAATCACACCATTCATGTCTGCACGCTGCCGTTGAACACGCAGCAGCCTCACCAATCACCCAGCAACACGTCTGCATTGTGCAGCTACACTGGTATACTTGCTCAGGTCCTCATTGCTGGGTACCATAGTCTCAAACATTATAATAGAAACACTTTTATATCCATTTCGGGCAGATTTCCGCACAGTTCCGCGGTTACGGCTTTAGATCTGGTTCGCTGCAGAAAAGACTCACAAACCCTTAGGCTCGCAAGCTTGTCATAACCCCGCCCGCTCCTGCTTTGCAATAAGCACACACGCACACACTTCCAAGCAGAAAGCCGGTGAAATTCATGTCGAAGCACGCAGTTTGTCTGTGCGTCATTTCACGGGTGGGCCACTGTACCAATAGTATCCATCAATGATAGACAGCACGACCCGCATGTCTCTAGTCTTCGGATGAATCACGAGGGCGTGTTTTCTTGCGACCTCTCTTGTGGACAACACGGACACATTTCAAGGTGTCCCCCTCTATTTCTCCAACTTTCGCAAACAATGCATGCGAGGTCATGCCGAGTTGGGCTTTAGCCAGCTGAGACCCCTGAGCTGGGCTGTAAAGGTTAGAACGCCGCGTTGCAAAACATGCTCACCACGCGTGAAGCAAAAGGGAAGGTTAAACCAAGTTAAACAAACATGAAAATGTGTCCAAGGTTGAAAAAGTAGCAAGGTGAAAAAAAGAGGGTGACATTGTCAAATAATTGGGAGACAGATGGGAGGATAATGATACATGGAGAAGCCAAATGATCAAGCATGACTAATAGCGGAGAGTAGTTGAATAGTTGCGCATTGAAACCTTGAGCATGGAAACTGTAAACTATCTAAGTGGAAATGTGGGAGATGGACATGTTAAATGATTTCAAAGGGATTTCAAGCTTGCTCAAGTTAAATACTCTAGTTCAAAACCACAGTGATTGGAATTACAAACTAACTTAGCTATCATAAATTATATAGCTAATTAAATATACCATGTTTGCTGGTCAAATCACTATTAATAAACGAACGTCCGTCCGAACACCCGGCCTCGTTGGGCTAAATATTCCTTGGCCAAAATGCCACATACGGCAATGGCAAGTGGGGCCCTCTACCTGATGGGGATCGTTGATTATGTTCAACCCAGAAACTAGGTTTTAGAATACGCATTAATACGCATATGTACTGTGCATATATATATAGAGAGAGAGAACAAGATTTTATCGCACGTTCATCCAGCTGAAAACAACAAATGCAAACACTAAATATAGGTCTTGTTACTAACCTTTTTACCTGGGAGAGTGAAGCATATGCAAGAACTGAAACAGACTGATAGAACATGATAGAACAAGGTAACCCATCATGTGCAAACCTTATTCAAAATATGAAACTAAAAGCAAAACTGGTGTTGGAATATACTTTTTTCAAGTTGATGCAGTGATGAAACATTAGTCTATCCCTTTTAAGAAATGGAAGTGGGGGCAAAGTTTGGGCTTTATGATCTCTATGTGTCTCACTCATATTCTTACGCTTTTTACTTCTAGAAATCCCTGAATTCTTGCTGACAAAAAATCTCCCCGGTTGCCTTCATCTCTGGCAAAATTCACATGCTTCGCTGCTTCCTGATTAGACATGTTTGGTGATAAAGTCAATTTTTCTCAAAAAGCGTCTTATCTGCTAGTGAGCACCTTCAAATAAAGGCCTCTGTCCTTGCCATGTCGTTGTCGTGTCGTCGTGTCGTCGCCACACCTGCCAAGTAGGCCTGCTAACTTATCCCCAATAAACATGGAAAAAACATCAATAAACATGTATCAATAAAGCCCAGTCAGTCTAGCAACATTTCATAACATTTCGAGGTTCCAATTCACCCCCAGCATCCCCATGCAGCGCCCAGTGATGCCCAGTGTCACACGCCAATTTCCCTGTGAAGCCCGTGGCACCCAACACCACCACGTCGAACGTCATGGCGACGCAACGCGAACGCCCGGCCGAGGCCGGGGAGGCCCGCCGCGATGGGACGCTGAGAGGTTTTTGGCCGGGAGAACACAATGATATGATTGATATAATCATACTAATATATTAATATATATATTAAACATATACTAATCATACATATATATATAATCGATACGTGTGTGTGTGTGTACTATGTGTGTATCATGTGTGTATTATGTGTTTGTATAATTGTAAATGAATATGTATGTATACGTAGTCAGGATTGTCAAGTAATCAAACTTGAAGACTGCACTGGAAAATGAAAATGTTCTATGATCAAGGTACGTGGTAGCAAGGCATACAACGTTTGGTCATTCTTAGCGTTCAACACTCCAATATTTAGGGCTCAGTACTCTGTAGTGTGTGGGCGCACGCCCATGCATTGGCAATCACTGCAGGTATATATATATATGGTAACCGACAGAATTATGGAAAAAAAAACGTTCAACTTAGACAGGCGGCGCCTGCGTCCGATTTTTCCATAATTGGATTTTTCCCCATAAGGGTTCAAAATATCCCGGAAGTGATCCGAACCTTTTTTTTCCATAATTCTTGGAGGTGGCCATTATTTCCATAATTGATTTTTCCTGTGAAATCAGGGGGCTAGGGCAGATTGACCGGTTTTTCCATAATTATTTTTTCCATAATTATTTTTTCCATAATTAATGTTTGGGGCTCCACCTGTTGGACATGTCATGGATCCACAATTCAAACCCGTTTTTTTTGGGGTTATGGAAATATGTATGCAAATGCAAGTATGTAGTATCAACCCAATTGGTGGCTTGGCAAAAGGAAACATCCCGCATATGTATGTACGTACAACAATGAGTTTTGGTGGTGCAGTTGTTATGTATATCAATGGCAGGCTTTAGGGGCATATGCCAGATCTTTAGACACATATTTTCTATAATTCAATATTCCCCCTTAAAATGCATTCAAATTGCGAACATCACATGATATTATGTATATCAATGGAAGACTTAGGGGCATATACCAGATCTTTAGACACATATTTTCTATAATTCAATATTCCCCCTTAAAATGCATTCAACTTGCGAACATCACATGATATTATGTATATCAATGGAAGACTTAGGGGCATATACCAGATCTTTAGACACATATTTTCTATAATTCAATATTCCCCCTTAAAATGCATTCAAATTGCGAATCGATGGACATACAGTCACCGACAGAATTGTGGAAAAAAACAATTATGGAAAAAAAACGATTCGTAACTTTTCTATCATAGACAGGCGGCGCCTGTAAATTGAAACTGTTTTTCCATAATTCTGTCGGGTGCTGTATATATAATTCCCTTGGCGCAATCCATGTAGAAATGATCCACGACCTAGGGATGGACTAGGGTTCTCAAGGCCCAAAAGGATAAAAAGGGGACATAAGACGACATAAGACGACATAAGCCTGAAAATGCAAAGTGGAAAATCGGACAAATCCAACAGCTGAGGTAACTGTTTAACTGATCGGAGATTCTCAGTTGCCCTCCGGTGTTTTCTCACATGGCTGGGAAAACCATCGTTAACTGCTACCGGCAGGTTTTCCAGCAAGCCACGCTTGATTACCCTCTGGTAAACTAACATAGCTATTGAACATGGCCATTTGTAGTGAGTTTTCCCATTAAAAATGGTGATTTTCCATAGTTATGTTAGTTTACCAGAGGGTACCGGAGGATACAAGACATTCGCCGACAACATGTTGTTACCCTACAAGTTCCAGTGGCTTCAGCCGGTCGCTGAACGCGCCAATCAGTTGTGCGTCGACCGGCGCTGGCTAGAGAATGAACACGCGGTGTTCGCGTTGAAATTTTGAAACCAGGCTGTGGCGTTGTTCCTTTTCATTCAAATCAACATGATTAGTTATAGCTTACCAGGGCTTACCACGTGTCAATGGAAAATCACCCATTTATACTTGATTTTCCCGGCTCTCCCTCTCTCTCTCTCCCTCTCTCTATCGCCACGTAGAAGGTTCAGCTATTAACCGATTAACCTATACATTTACCTTGTGGATTTCCCGGCTGCTCGCCATATTTGATGACCCTGGAGAGCACATGCATTACTCTCAGCATCCTTAGTGCAAAGAAACAAGATCACCCACATCTCAAAGTCCCATTCCATCGGATAGTCATTCGCAGCATTAGGGATTCTATGGGGTTCTCAACATTTATCAACATGATCATCCCCAGCAAATGTTACATGTTGTTATATGTTGGATTATATGCGAGGATCATTTTTTCCGGTGGACCAAACATCATCAAGGCCCTTTCTTTAGGACTTATAACTCCCATGATATCCCCATGATATCCCACGGTTGGCATGTATCGAAAACTGGGCCAGGCACCACCGATAGATTAGTTTCATTTAGTTTCCAACATCCAGGGTAGAGATATGTAGAGATATTCCAATAAAATATCATAAAATCATATAAAATCACTATCATTCAGTTAGTAAATCAGCCTGAAATAGGATGAAAGGAGGTTCCTATTGAGCCAGTCATCCAACAGTTCCAACAGCCATCATGGCATCGATGCTGTCCTTGCTGGTGCCTCTGATCGAGCCAACTCGCAGCTGAAATAAAAAGTTCCTGATTACCCTCTGGTAAACGTTTACATTACCATGGAAAATCACCATTTTCAATGAGTAAATCCACTATAGATGTTAGATTACCGGAGGGTATTCATCATTTCCCAAGTAAACATGCTTAAGCTTTGGATATTCCAATCCTATCCCATGGTTTCGGATTCAGATCTGTTGATGCCCCGAACCGAAGCGCCAAGCGAGCAAGTCATTCGCATCGATCGATCGTCCGAAGGCGCAGAGAAAATCGAGCGCGTCGATTCCAAGATGTCCAAAATGTCATGGCAAGACATCCCAAGCCATCAAATAATCGATCATTCCAAGTATCACATTCCTGATTTTTGTTGGGGCTATCATAGACTATCATCATTGATTGCTGTGAGTTTTTAAATGATTGATTCCCATGATGATATTGGATCCATGGAGTTGGAGCTGAAAATGATGGCTATTTGTGGTGAATCCCTAGTTCCATCCACATGTCGCTTAAAGCCCTCCTTTTGCTTGCTACATCCCTATTTCTTGCCGTTGAAGTCCAATTTGTGGATAAATCTTCGTGCCAACATGTTTACCGCTGAAAAGAACAGTGGTGTTTGCAGCATTAAGTCCACACATTGATCAAATCCAACGTGTGATTCTTGAAATAGATCAGTTTATTGCGGATCCATAGCTATGGTAGTTTACTGGTACCAAAGGTAGGGGGATCATATAGTAACCATGAGCAAGGTTGATTATGGTGTATAGATTGCCGTCTTAACTATGGTCTTAATTATAGTTCATTAATCTAAGTATAAACCATAAACCCAACATTAACTATAGCATTAAAACATACTAAGACTATATTAACTATTATCACTGTTCGATTCTCTCTGCACCTCACGAACTCCTAACCTCAGCCACCTGCCCCGCACGCTGCAAGGCGTGCGAGGTCCGAGGGATCAATGCCGTCACTGTGGTGCTCCTGGGGCACTGTCAGAGAATGCTGGTGATGTAATGGTGATTTCATGGGGATTTGATGAAAGTTTGATGATGGGGGAGTGTATGGGAATTAATATGGGTTTCATGGGGATTTCATGGTGGTTTTAATTGGGGGGTTATATGATTTTATGGTGATTAATAATTTGGGGTGTTTAACATGCCTTAATCATACCTCTGGTAATTTAACCGTGTTGGCACTGGAAAATAACAATATTTAGTATAAATTCACCATTTATAAATGGGCCGTTTTCCATAGCTATGGCAGCTATGCTACACTACCAGCTAGGGTAGATGACTTGCAGATGATTTCTACTTCAACTCATTGGTCGTTTTCTTCTAGTGGAAACATATGGGAATATATGGGACAATCATCAACACCCAGGGGCGATGGCCTGTTGCCTGGTTATGGCCGACAGTTGACGTTGAATCAACGACCAAGAGGTGGATAGTTGACGACAGGATAAAACATATAAAACGATCCACAATTGATCCACCAATGATTGAATTGAACCAACTATATATCATCTAAATAAATTTAAATATAGTATAATTAAATGGTTACTGGACTACCAAAGAGATATAACCGGTTCATAATCCTCGGATGTTTATGGCGCAGATGTCCTGGTGTTTCCCTTTGGCATAGGCTTTGGGTACCTCAGGGATCCATGCCAGCCATGGGGCTGCATCACCAGCTACGGATTTCGGTGTTTTGGTAGTTTTCTTCCAAGTTTGGCAGCTGGATTTCACACCTCGCCTAGCTCGCGAACTGAATCAGTTGGCCTAGTTGGCCCCAAAAATGTTCAAGCCCCTGGCAGAAAACTAAAGCATTGCCAAGTACCCAATGAAGGTCCCCCCTTTGCAAAATAATAACGGAGCCACCCAGACAAACCAACTTGAACCACCATCAACCACTCTGCTTGAACCATCATTAAACTACTCTTCAGTTGTTTCCCCAGCATCGAAACAAAATCAGGGGCGCACCAGTAAGGAATGGAAGAAACTGTAGATCAGCGCCTCGTTCAGGCCGTTGCGGGGTCCCGGTGTGGTTTTTCGGCAGAAAATAACAGGAGAAAAGTGGGCTGTCGCCCAAAATCTGACCAATTCATACCAATTCTTGGAGAGTGAAGTAAGATGAAGTAAGTATAATCAATCAATCTTGGCGTGCATGTCATCTACCCTCCACCATCACTCACCACTATTTGACCCATGATCCTGCTTCAAAAAACATCGCCCAAACTTGTCATGATAGGGTCAACTAACCTCATCCTAAGAAGGGCAAACAGCCCCAAGACCACAGACTGCCACACAGCAACTCAAGACTTTAGAATCTTGAAGACTAGGGGGTTGAACATGAGCCAAGAGACGGTAAATAGTCGTTCCATATGTTTCTTTTTGGGTCTCCTCCACTTGCAGATTTGAGTTTATTTTAGGGTCATCCAACCAAGCGTTCACGTTGGATGATGTATATGGACATGGTTGCTTGCAATTAGGTCATGTATACCCTGCTCCTAGGAGTTCAAACATGTTGTCATTCATGTTAGCTTTCCAGATTTCAGATTTCAAGGATTTCAGGGTCCTTGAAATCTCAAACAAAGCCAGACATCTGCCGAGGGGCCCAAATGCTGAGCAACCAAGAGTGGATGAGCCGCTGGTAGTGCAACCAATTTCTTTTGGCCTGGCGCCGACTGGATGAGACATCCTACCAAAAATCAGTCGGATGGCAACCGGCAACCTGCAAACAATTTATCCCATAAAAAAAACAACTGGGTACATTATGGAACATACCAAGCTTTTAAGGATTAAATGCGTTTTCTTATACGTGTGCAAAAACATAAATTGCAGGTTATAAATCCGCCATTGTGCCAGTAAAATCCACACATTTCTTTGAGGTGAAAACCTTGTGAAACGTCCATCCTTAATTCTTCTAATTCCACGAACTTGGCGTTCAACCTCGTTTGAATCTTGAATATGTATCATAATATATTATGTTTTAACCTTAAGATTCACCTTTAAGATTTTAATCATTCAACCAAATTCCAAATATACATACACACACATATATATATATATAATATGTATACACATGTAAATATATATTCTTTGAAGTAATTTGTTTTTGTTCCCCAAAAGATTTAAGTTTGGCGCCTTTGTCTGATCCCTGCATGCTGACGCGCTGCCTGGTTGGACGTAGATTCCATGGGCAGCAGCATCACTTGAAGCTCCCCACCTGCCTGCAGTGGCGGGGATTACTATGAAACCCCACAAATAACGGGATAGTAACGGGATAAACCAACCAAGTAGTGCAAGATTTCTTCCATAGGAAACCAAGCAGATTCAAGAAAAGCTGTTAAGATATCTTTTTGTTTCAGCGGCAATTCTTAAGATTTTCATGGACATATGGACTTTACCGTAATAATATCAATGCGTATCTTTTGTGGGAGGTTGCTGCTCGCTATATGAAAACTATCACGCGCATTTGCAATCAGTTGTGGATTGGTGCGTCCTTGCGCCATTCTGTTGATTTGAACCAATGTCAATTTCCCATGATTTCCCATAAATGCTTATCGTCCCAAAATGTCCATAAACCCAAATTAGGTGCAATAAGTTCACCAATGTTCCCACTGTTAGTTATTATAGGGTATTACTTCCCAAAATAACCTGGTTGGTGGTTTTAACGATCTTGAAAAATATTAGTCAATGGGAAGGATTATCCGATATATTGTGGAAAATAAAAGCCATGTTCCAAACCACATCAAGCCACCAACCAGGTAACAATACTTGTAGTTTTTTCATCCCTGCTTCAGAACCAGCCGCAAGACATCGCAACGTGGCTCGATCCCGCTGCACGAGGACCTTGGAAAGCAAGGTCTCAAGTTTCAAAGTGGCATCGCTCAACACCTGTGGCTGGGAGATCCTATGGGATCCTATGGAATCCTAGGGAGCCATGTGTTGAATTACCAGATATTACTGTTCCACTTTTTTGATGTGGTGCTACATAGAATCTGAGAATGCAGTTTGAGATACCTAACTTGAAGGTCAAGTAGCCTCTCTAAGCTATGTTCATGGCGGAAGGCTCGGTTCTAAATTTCTGCCAGGCTTGACCATAACCAGCTCATGATTTTTCATTGGCTTGACCATAACCAACAGGAACAAAAACAAACATGTTGGAGACAAGCAACTTGGTGGGCATGATTGGGAGTATTAGTTGGGCTCCAACAAGTAGAATCTAGCATTAAAAAAAAACATTGACAATCCTTGGGCAAGAGATGACATACAAAAATGACAAAAAATCCTCAGATAATAGATAAATATAGATAAAAAAAGATCACCGTGATTTCCTTAGGAATTTCCTTAGGAGCAATGGTCATATCCTTTGTGGTCACCGTGAACAAAAAACGTGAACATTTTCAGGTGAAACCAATGGGCTTTGACTGCGGCCCTGCCTTTCCACGACAAATGAGGCGCTGCCTGCCGCATTTCTCAGGTTCCACAGATTTCCACATGGAGAAATAGCATTTTAATGCATTTTATAGCATTCTATAGCCATAAATCGGAGAAATACATAGAAACCTCATATTCCCTGATTGTCAAGACACACCCAGACACACCCAAAAGGCACAGTGTTGGGGTTAGCTGCAATCCCAATTCGATTCCCGTTATTGATATTTTGATCGTTAAATCAGCATTCAAACACAAACAAATCATGTTTTAGAAAATCCAAAAGCCAGTCCCAAATCATCCCAGGGTGCAATGAACATCTCTCTCTCTCTCCAAAGAGGAATGATTCAATTTGGTCATGTGGGCAACAGAATCCAACTTTTGACCCTCCATTTAAAACATTCAAATCAACACCTGCAACCCCATGCTCATATACAATTACCTACCACTTTGAATCCAACATGAACATGGCCTCGATCTATGTCATAAAAATGGTATGATTTGAAACCAGCAAAATCCATTAATTAAACATGGATAAACATGGTATTACACGTTCCAATATGTTCCAATCATTAAAAGGGTATAATGTGGTTAAAACAATAAACCACTCCCAAAATCACCATAAATGGGTGGTATAAATCATAAAAACAAGGTGGTTTATGGCATTGTTTTACCCACATTAATGATTTGAAACCCACATAGGAGGAACAATAATCATCTGTACCAGTAGTACCGCACAAGGCGGTGGCGGAAGTTTCAAAAATAGGAAACCTATAGGAGAGGTTGGTTGTTGTGAATCAGGGATGGCAGAGCGAAGCCACTGATGGAGCGAAAGGTGATTGATCTCTCTCACTATTTCTCTCTCTTTCTCTGACTATCCACCTACCTACCTACCTACCTACCTACCTACCTATCTATCTATCTATCTCTCTCTCTCTGTGTCTGTCTGACTATCTATCTATCTATCTATCTATCTGTCTATCTATATCTATCTATCTATCTATCTATCTATCTATCTATCTATCTATCTATCTATCTATCTATCTATCTATCTCTCTCTCTATCTATCTATTTATCGATCCATCCATCCATTCATCCATCCATTCATCCATCCATCCATCCATCCATCCGACTCCATCCATCCATCCATCCGACTCCATCCATCTACCGTGTACTGATACGAGCCTCGTATTCCTAAATTGAAACTTCAACAACTCCTACCATGTTAACACAACAGACTACAAACACATGACGAAATCTAGCACATCCCTCTGACGCGTCTCCCTCACGGTGTCGCCGCAGTGTGTTTTTTTCCAAGCAGCAACGGGCAAAATCTTCGGCCGGACTTGCAATGAAGTACAAATGCTCCAGTGCATCATTGTGCAGTCAGAAAAGACATACACGCTGGCATGTGTCGTGGCCGCTGCGGTCAGAAGCGCTGCAATGAATTACTGGCCCGCAACGAATTCCAAGAGCTGATGTGCCATCATGCGGTCAGAAAAGACACACACGCTGGCCTGCAACGAATGCTTCGGCATGCAATGAATTACGGATGCGGTACTCAACCCGTACTTACCCGTGAGTTTTGCCAGATAACAGACGCATCAGCATGCGAACTTGCTCCAGCATGGACTTCGAAACAACAATCAGACTTCATAAATTATCAGGTTTTGGAAAGCCTCCGATTTTGTGTGTAAACCCTGGGTATTTGAGCAAACCCTACAAAAACTTTGGGTTTGGATATGTTGGGTATCTAGTCTGTCTATCTGTCTATCTGTCTATCTATCTGTCTATGTCTCTACCCATCTATTTCTCTATTTGTCTTGGTGTCTAACTATCTGTCTATGTGTCCATGTATCTATCTGTCTGTCTCGCCATCTATGTCTCTAGCTGTCCCTCTAACTATTTCTCTATCTGTCCGTCTATCGATTTATCTATTTATCTATCGGTCTGTCTGCCCGTCTATCTATGTATCTAGCTATGTGTCTATCTATCTATCGACCTATCTATGTGTCTATCTATCTGTCTATCTATCTATCGATCTATCTATCTATCGACCTATCTATCTATCTCTCTCTATCTATCTCTCCGTCTATCTATCTATCTCTCTATGTATCTATCTAGCTCTCCATGTATCGATCTTTGCATCTATCGATGTATCTATCTATCTATCTATCTATCTATCTATCTATCTATCTATCTATCTATCTATCTATCTATCTATCTCTCCATCTATCGATCTATTGTAGTTGTAGTTTTAGTTGTTGTGGTTGGTTGTTGTGGTTGGTGTTGTTGTTGTTGTTGTTGTTGTTGTTGTCGAGGTTAGGGTAGTTAAGTTAGTGAAGTTAGTTAAGTTAGTTAAGTTAATCAGTGTCTACTTTTTCGACATCTTCACGTCAAAAAAGGCTCAAAACCCTCAGTTTTTTTACACTTTTGACTTCGAAATGTGCTTCGCGCCACAACGGCGTGCACTTTTTCGACACTTTTTCCACATCGGAACCTCCAAACGTGGTCCGAGACCGTCAGTTTTTTACACTTTTGACTTGGAAATGTGCTTCGCGCCACAACGGCGTGCACTTTTTCGACATCGCAACTTCCAAAAGTCGTCCGACACTGAGGTGTTTTGTACATTTTGACTTCGAAATGTGCTTCGCGCCACAACGGCGTGCACTTTTTCGACATCGCAACCTCCAAAAGTGGTCCAAACCCCTGGTGTTTTGTACATTTTGACTTCGAAATGTGCTTCGCGCCACAACGGCGTGCACTTTTTCGACATCGCAACTTCCAAAAGCGGTCCGACGCTGAGGTGTTTTGTACATTTTGACTTGGAAATGTGCTTCGCGCCACAACGGCGTGCACTTTTTCGACATCTCAACTTCCAAAAGTGGTCCGAACCTGGTGTGTTTTGTACATTTTGACTTCCAAATGTGCTTCGCGCCACAACGGAGTGCAAATTTTTCATCTCTCATCTGGCCAGCTGGCTCCGCACCCGCCGCTTTAGCGAGCCTACTTTTCGACCCTCCGGAGCCCCAAATCATTGGAAAAACACAGTGTTTCGCGACTTTCCTACCTTTTTCGCGCATCTGCATCTTCTTTCTTCTGACTCTTTCTCTTCTCTGATCTTCTCTCTTCTAATCTTTCTCTTCTCTCTGCCTCTTCCCTGCTCTGCTTTTCATCTGTCCATATTGTCGGAAGTTTGACTTCTAAACTTCCTTCGATTAAATCACATGTGTTAAACATTAATAAAATTTGATAATCATATATACCCTCTGGTAAACGTTTACATAGCTATTGAAAATGGCCCAGTCGAAATAGTTGATTTTCCATGATTTTCCCAGCTATAAAATGGGTGGATGTTCCATCGTTTTTCCACAAAAATCATCAACCATCCCGGGACCTCCCTGGTTCCACCGCAGTGAGCCGCGCTGCTTCCTGTGCCAAAGCGGACCTCGAGAAAGAGATTTATTGTGGAACGTTGTGGAACATTTACATGGAAATTTAAGGGGATTTCTAGGGGATTTCTATGGGATTTATATGGGATTTGTATGGGATCTATATGGGATTTAATGGGTTATACCCAGCTTATTTAATAAGATTATAAAGCTAATTTATCAAAAGTTTTAAGGGGACTCATTGAAGTTGGGATCAAATTGGGAGCAAAAAGTTGGGAAGCGATTGGGGGTGCCCTCTGTAAAGGGTGTCTAGAGTTTGGTAATGACTAACCGTTTGCCATGGAAAATCACCAGAAATTGAAATATCATAAATCTTCAATAAATCACTAAATGGAGAATGTTCGCTATGTTGAATTACCAGAGGGTACATGTTTTGAAACATGAGTCCATGACCTGTTCTTGGAAAACCACCTGGGATTTTATCCAAGAAATACACGCCCTGGGCCCCTGGGCACCGGGCACTGGGCTATCCTGGGGCAACGTCACCTCAAACCTGGCTGATTCACCACGTTTCACCATGGGTCACGAAAGAATCAAAAAAAAAGATGTTTGAGTCCAAAATGCTCCTGGGTGATAGATATAGATAGATATATACATATAATATACATATATGATATATATATATGTATATCCATATGTATGGTATTACATAGTGAGGCCCTGTGGGGATGGCTAAGGAGCCAAAGGCTAAAGGTACCAAAAAACAGCTGGCACAGCTGGACGTAAATTTCCCCCTCAAAAAAAATCTAAAAATGCTAGCATTTTTGAACCCATAGCGATATATAATAGATCTTTCTATAGAACATATAGATATAGATCCAGTGACTGGTGAGGCTAGCACAGCAACAACTGCACAGTGGCGTGCTTCCCTCCTGTCTTTGTGATGTTGCAAGCGAACTCGCAACATGGATCTATCTCCAGAAGCCATGGCGATTTGACCTAAGAAGCCTTCGCGTCTTTCTGATGTTGTCGTAAACTGCTTTGACTGTGCATGTTTTTCACCTGTTAATTTAAATAATGGTAAACACATCAACATACATCAACACATGTTCAATGGGGCTGAGGTCTATCTTATGATCATAGCCTGAATCATAGCTGGGAAGCTTGCGGTCTATAGGCCGCCAACAAAAATCAAATAGTCTATGGAGTCGATGCAGCTACTTCCAGGGGATCATAGGGTCGCCAATGTTTTCATGTGCTTTCCTTGAGCTGAGCAACATGCGGACCCAGGATGATCCCTACCATAGGTGCCTAAGCAGCAAACACGTTAATTTCACCATTAAAAATGTGGATCTAAAGTTAAGCGCGACAAAAAAGGATGTTAACCCATGTTAACCCAACAAATGACTGGGCCTGGAGGAAAATGTTCAGGGTACCAGCATCCACTTTGTAAAACTGACTGAGCAGCACCAACAAAGTAACAGCACCAGTTTCACGACTGATTCCTCCCAGTTGATCCACGTTTCTGGACTCTGACTGCGTCATTGGCATAGTTTTTCTTCTCCGGGTTGCACGTGATATGCGTCTTTGGCATATTTTTGCATGAACTCATGAAGTAAATCACCTTCCCATTGGTCCTCAGCCAGGCGGGACGGCGCTCGGAAAAGCGGTGCTGTTCGCAACCTATACATCAGCAAACTTGAGGTATCTTACCTTGCTGGTTTGTTGATAACTGGCTAAGTTAGCCAAAAAGGCTCAACTGTGATTTGATTAAGACACTTAATTTGTTGTTCATTGGCTTCCCATGCAATATGATCAATATGGATTCAACCACTCCGAACAGCTCAGTGTATCCCGATCCATCTTGGTAGGCTATCATCAAATCGGCTACCAACCCCCACCCGCACCAAGCAGCCCGGCAATCACATGACCACGGCCTCTGCAGCGGTGCTTGGTAACATGTGGTAACCTTTGAGATGCCCAGGTTTTGAATATGATAATTATATCATGGTGTATGAATGTGTACATAATTACTGAATATTTTTGAATATTAATGATGGAAAATGTGTATATATATATATACTGGTTGCTGGTTGAGCCATCCCTTTGAAAAATATGACTTAGTCAGTTGGGATTATGAAAATCCCAACTGAATGGGAAAAATAAAAAATGTTCCAAACCACCAACCAGTAATTATATATAAATGACTATGATGATTATATCATGGTGTATCAATGTGTATTACAAACCTTTGAGACCCCATATATTATCCGATTATACGAGTATTACGTGTTTTTTTGGGGCTCATGCACGATTAAAATATTCTACTCAGTGCGGTAATAAATGACTTGATGAAAATCAAATCATAGTCCTGTGCATGGGGTGGACAATATTTTTGCGTGTATCATTTATCCATTGGGGGCGTGAAATTGACGACGTACTGTATAATAACCAGCAATGACACGGACTTGATATCAACATTGATGGTTTCACCTTGTTAATTCAATAACTAAGGTCACGCCGGGGATAGTGGCGCAGGGGTTTTACAAAAGTAGCATTAGTTATCATATATAGTTATAAAAACTTACATGCGCGTCACTGCAAGAGCGCAAAGAAGTTGACGCGAGCATTGCTGCCAAAGCGTATCAGCGCCGCTGTCCTTGGTGTGGAAATACACGATGGTATTAAAACATATTAAAACCAACCGAAGCACATTGTCAAAGTGCTGACTTTCGTTTGATGGAAATTGCTTAACATTTGTGGTTTCATCATGTTTCACTGTTTCAGCTTCCTTCTGTATCCTGTTCTTTCAAAAAAACATCAGGGACCAATATCATCCAATATCACCATGTAAATCAGTTGCCCGACAAAAACGATCCACCACCCTACCAATTCATGATATCTTCCAGTGTATATGCATGGAATCAGCCATTTATAGGTCATTTTCCCAACAAAACACATGGGTTTTTCCATAGAGCTACCCTGGAAAAATGCGGCTAGATGTGGTTTCCACCATTTGTAGATCCTTTCCGAACGGCTTTTCCCACGGTGCCCCCGGGGTAGGTTGATGAATGTCACCAAGTTCACTACGATTCATGGTGGGAAAAAATGTGAATCTATCCTGATTGGTGGTTGAGCCACCCATCTGAAAGATATGAGTCAGTTGGGATGATGACATTCCCAATATATGGAAAAACAAAATTCATGTTCCAAACCACCAACCAGTATCTCTCTCTCCATCGCCCTCTCCGGGAGTGAATTCTATGGTTTATGGAGTTTATTCATATTTAACCATGGATTTTCCATAGCCACCTTACTTTGGCGGCCGGGACCGGGACCCGGCCTCGCACAGTGCGCAGCTGAAGTCCGGGCCAGCGGTCCATGACATCAGCGAAGGACCTCGGCCATGGCATCAGCCCAGCCAGTTGACGACTAAATGGTGGATTAATGGTGGTTACTAATGCTTAATAATGGTTAATAATGGTTAATAATGAAAAATGATGGTCATTAATGGTTGGTAAAGCGATTAATCGTGGGTTAAGGGTGATTAATGGGATATAACTAAAACCATCAATGGTGGGATAATTGTAAAGAATTTGGGATGTAAAATCAACCATACAACTAGGATATAATCCGGATAAAGGGTGTGTAAGGGGATAATAATGTCCGTTAATCAGGATTAGAAAGTACTACACTACCCTTTGGTAATCAAATATGGCTAGCTAGGAAATCCTGAGCTCAACTGGAGGTTTCTCGCTGGGAAAATCCTCGAACTAAATGGTTGATTTTCCAGCAAGCCACGTTGGATTGCCGGCAAAATTTAGGCAAAGCTGGTATGGTAAACCTGGTATGCAACCTGGTATGCATAGCTGGTATGGTAATGTATGGTATGTGAAACCTAATGCAACCTGGGAAACCTGGGAAACCTACCTGGTATGGTATGTGAATGTGTTCGTTCAATCACGTTCAATCCAGTTGTGCAAGTTTTCCCGGCACCTTCCTCACGGTGTTCCAGGAAAATGTTAACACGAAACCGCCTCATTTTGGCTGGTGTTACACGCCCTAAAAACGATGTGATGATATTCATGGGATAAGTACACACATATTTGAACATACCAGAAAACTCTTAGGCAGTTTACCCACAACGTAAACAACAACAACTTCTTAATCTTGCCATGCTGCCGTTTCTAGTGCTTAAAGGCTTAAAACATCTTCAACCATTTTGGGTTGACTGCTGCGTTTGTCAAATAAATAAACAAGGAGTCGAAAATTGGATACCATCATGTTCTTCATTAAAACAAAACATTTGGCACCCCCAGTTCTGGAAAAAAAACGCGCACAGTTCCCGGGTTTTCCGTTGTTTTTCCGTGGTTCCAGTTGCTCTTTGTCTCTTTGTCTGGTCTCATTTGAACAGCGATGTGCCTCTTTCTAAGTACCATGTATCTTTGTTTCCCACGTCATATCCTAGGTCTGCTTGATGATTTATCAGCATGTTCTCATTCACACTGCCATTAATTGAGGATGAATCCCCTATTCTGTGGGAAACCAAAATCAAACTGTTGGTTGTGGCCCAATATATCCTGTTATACACCTATTACTTTACCATTACATTCTCACAAAATGTCTGGTTTGCCATGTGTGATTTGCTTCCCCTGCCCTGGGGATCCCTTGAAATTAACTCAAACTCATACAAATATGGAATTGTCCAACAGTTTCCCAAGGAAATTTCATGCACAATCTGCAATCATAGTGGGTTTTCCCACGATTTTCCCCCATTCTTAGGTCGATTTTCCCCATTGTTATGTGGATTGTCCTCATTTTTATGTGGATTTTCCTGATGTTTATGTGGATTTGCGGATCTGCTGATCGTCCCTGAGTCTTCCAGCGGTTCCGTCAACTCCTTCCAGGGCACCCATTGATCGTCCTGGGTCACCGTTGGAGATTTTCCAGAAAAATGTCTGGTTGGTGGTTTTGAGCCATAGTTAATCACCATTAATCACCATCATTCACCATAGTTAACTGTTACTGGTTGGTGGTTGGTATACCTACACCTCTGAAAAATATTGGTTATTAGTCAGTTGGGATGATGAAATTCCCAATACATGGAAAAATAAACAATGTTCCAAACCACCAACCAGATGTGATGAAAAAAATCTGTTGAAATGCTTCATCTACGGTGGATTGGCCATAGATATTTGCTGTCCATCGTGGAGGATTCGGTGTCCTTTGTGCAGAAACTGTATTTCGAGCGGCTCCCACTTTTTGATCTTGTTGGTTGGTCGCGGTGGGTAGCATTCTACCCGGGTGAAACCACAATGCCATTCACCGCAATGTTGAATGGCATTCTCGACTTGGTTCATTGTAGATTCTTTCATATTATTTCCATAGTATTTCCACATGTGCTGCTCACCATGATTAATGGATGTTAATGCTATATCCACACGTTTGCTGGTCCGTAGATATTTGCTGGTGCTACGGTCAGCCACAAAGAAAAATCTCATGGAAATTGCTCAAAACGTCCCTCATCTGGTAGGTTTACCCAGATATCAAATTTCCAGTGAACTAAGATGTTTCAAAGTTTCCAAAAATGATTCACAAACCGCCATGACTCTACACTGATTTATTCAAACATGCAAATGTTTCATGTTTTTTGCTGGTTCCATTCAAGAAACGTAATCCCCTCGCAGATTCTTGCTCTGGGCACGCTTCACTTCTTGCCGGCCAATTGCGCTGCCTCAGCCTTTTCGCGACGTTTCCTGAGCGACTGAAAGTCACTAACAAAAGCATGGATAAATCAACAGCAATTGGGAATTTCAAGCGCCGAACATGGGGACTCTCGAGACAAACATGGGTAATGTCACCACTTTTGATAGGGATAAATGATAGGTAACGCATTATTTTACCATCTTTAGGTGGGATGTTATGAAGTTTTAAAGCGTACCAATATCGAAAAAAATGGTAGCCAAAGGACTGGGGCTTTCAGCTGATAAATCTTGTGGGGTCTGGGGCTTGAATTTCGATACGCGACATCTTAGACTCTAGCAAGCAGTCTGATCATGGGTTTTCTCATGTTTTCTCGTAGACCTGTGGTGACAACAACAACATCAACAACAACCTATAAAAGGACTTACCAACCACCAAGAACCACAACGTTTATAGGCTTTGATGTTGGGCTTTATTAACCTGCTATCATTTGTGTCACCATTTTGAGGGGTGTCTGATCATCCTGGAATCATGATCAGCCTGAGCCCAGTGTCTTCTTCATTTCTTCATAGGCGTTGCGAACTTGACTCGCATAGTCTGACCTGGGTGGCCCCGGGGAGAGGATGATCAAGCAATTTGAATAGGAAGCTTTGTTTGTGAGAGCTCTGCTCGGATTGGGTTTATCTGTTTATCTTACTTTTCTGATTTATTTCTAGAAACTTAGTATGGATTCCGTAAATCTGGATGAACATGATGAACTATGACAGCTCACGAAGCTGACATGTTCGGCTCTTTGCGGATGACCCCCCAAATAAAACAATGGCAATGGAAATTGCAAACTATGGAAAAACATCTTGGATACTCGTCTAAAAGTAAATTGGTGATATTCAATTACACGTTTTAAATTGCCAGTTCACGCCCAAAGCTAGGATTGAAAGTATTGCCCAAAGATATCTCAGATTCAGTTGCGGGTAACCTACCCTCTGGTAAATTAACATAGACCCTGGCAGTCATCGGGGTTGGAAGACTAGTTTCCATTAAAAATCGGTGATTTTCAGGGTCCAACTGTTAATTTGCTGGAGGGTAATATGGCTTCTACAGGTATACCAGGTATCCATATATCCTCCACGCAGCCGATCCCAGCGACAGGTTCGCAGCGCTGCTCTTCACAGCCTGCCCCTTGGACAGGGACTTCAAGGTGTCCTGCAACGGCAACGGCTGAAGGTGGCTGAAGGGTCAATCCTTCAGTCTTTCAGTTACCTGGACAATAGGATGCCTCATCTGGTTGGTGGTTTTAACCCCTCTGAAAACTATGAAAGTCAGTTGAGATTATTATTCCCATGGAAAAATGAAATTCATGTTCCAAACCACCACTTTCCGCTTTCCGTCGGTCGGACCTGCTCATGTCCGGGAGCGAGGTCCATTTTGCCAAATGCGAGCTTAGTCAAAGCTGTCGTTCTCACTTTGAAGACCGCAGCTCACCGCCATTCCCGTTGCCTTCGTGGCAATGGGAAGTAAGGCCCTTCAAGGCTGACGTTCGGGACGACCAGGGAGTATGCAGGATGGCGTGCCATACAGGACACAAAGCCCCTGCTTCTGCGGTGCTCAAACGCGGCTTTTTATGCGCAGTCTCCTGCCAAGGCAAAACACACCCTAAGTCTCGAAAGTTAGTAATTTTACTCGCCCTGAATTTTACGTAAAATCGACTGTTTTACTAACGTGATTTTACGTAAAATTTTACTAACGTTAGTAAAATTTACTAACGTTAGTAAAATTTTACTAATGTTAGTAAATGATTTTACTAACGTTAGTAAAATTTTGCATGCTTTCAAAAATTGTGAAAATTGTGATTTTTTTCTATTGTTTTTCTTAGGAATTCTGATATTTTTTTGTGATATGTGTGATTGTGGTTTGCGATGATTTGGTTATGAGTGGGGTGTTTCCAGTGGAGGATTTCAATCGATATGTTGTTGTTACTGTAGAAGAAACTGCACTTATGTGTTGAGGAATGACTTTACATGAGTTTGTACTGGAGACTTTACTTGCGATTTTATATGAGGAGTTCTTGGTACTTTCTTGGGACTTTACCTGAGAGTTCTTTTGAGATGTTATGTGAAATCATGTACATCTATATCTATATCTGTATATCTATATAAACATATAAACTGGATTTACATAATAATAGGTGAATCCACAAAAGGAATTTACATTGGATCTTGACTTTAAGAAGTCATTGCAAAGCATTTACATTTGAAAAAGAAAGTCTAGATATTTTTTTGGGGTAAATGAGACTAGGTGAAATATCAAAGCAATAATAACCACATCTTATCATTTTTTCCAGGCAAGGAAAGTGAACCAAATTTTATTGGATCAGGTTTGTTTGCTACAAAACTTGATCAACTTACATAAAACAATTGTCCATGGGGACTGAAGACATGTCTTTTTCAAAGCTAAATTTAAAAGGGAGCTCATAGACTCTTGTGGTGCTTTTTTCCTCATACAATTTGGAGAAGGTCTGGATGAAATCCTGGTAAACCTTTGGCTGGCTTGAAAAAATACATCCCAGAAGTCTTAGTGAGACCCTTACTCCACTTTCAATTCCACATGAATATTTTTTCACATGTGTCCAAAGTTTTTTTCAGAAAAATGCTTGAACACGGTCAAAAATGCAATGCACTTCTGATGCTTTTGGTGCACTTTTGATGCACTTTTGGAGCACTTTTGATGCACTGTTGGTGCACTTTTGATGCACTTTTGATGCACTTTTGATGCACTTTTGATGCACTTTTGATGCACTTTTGGTGCACTTTTGGTGCACTTTTGATGCACTTTTGATGCACTTTTGGTGCACTTTCAAAAGTGATGCACTTTTGATGCACTTTTACCGCCTTTTGATGCACTTTTGATGCACTTTTTAAAAGTGCATCAAAAGTGCGTCAAAAGTGCGCCAAAAGTGCGCCAAAAGTGCGTCAAAAGTGCGTCAAGAATTTATGGCATTTTTCTTGGAAAAAAAAATGGTAAGGTTCTCTCTCAAAAAGAGATTGCATGCATTGAGTTTGAAGTAAAACCATTCAGTGCAGTCTCAAGTAAGGTGCAAAGTGCAATGATAGCAAACTCAGTAAAGTTCACTGACAACAGTCTCAAGTAAAGTTCACTGGCAACAGGCCCGAGTAAAGTTCATTGGATGCAGCCTCAAGTAAAGTTTGTTGGATGCAGCCTCAAGCAAAGTTCATTGGATGCAGTCTCGAGTAAAGTTCACTGACAGCAGTCTCAAGTAAAGTTCACTGACAACAGGCTCAAGTAAAGTGCACTGACAACAGTCTCAAGTAAAGTCTCAAGTAAAGTTCATCGGATGCAGTCTCAAGTAAAGTTCTTTGGATGCAGTCTCAAGTAAAGTTCATTGGATGCAGTCTGAAGTAAAGTTCATTGGATGCAGTCTCAAGTAAAGTTCACTTACAGCAGTCTCAAGTAAAGTTCAGTGACAGCAGGCTCAAGTAAAGTTCACTGACAACAGGCTCAAGTAAAGTGCGGTGACAACAGTCTCAAGTCTAGTTCATTGGATGCGGTCTCAAGTAAAGTGCACTGACAGCAGGCTCAAGCAAAGTTCATTGGATGCAGTCTCAAGTAAAGTTCACTTACAGCAGTCTCAAGTAAAGTTCATTGGATGCAGTCTAAAGTAAAGTTCATTGGATGCAGTCTCAAGTAAAGTTCACTTACAGCAGTCTCAAGTAAAGTTTATTGGATGCAGCCTCAAGTAAAGTGCTTCGTCAACATTTTCAAGTAATGTCTTTATGCAGAAAAGTTTCTTGGATCTGTTTTCATGTAAAGCCAACCTCAGCGAACAGCAGCAGAACTTCTTTTTTTTCACACCCCAATGCAAGCTATCAGGAATTGACCGTCTATCTTTCTTTCAGAATGTTTTCGTTTTGCGGCAAAGGACATATCCTTATGCAGGTTCCACATGCTAATTTCTTCACATTCCTCAACAATATTTGCATATTCATTCTGCTTCTTATATCAAATTCAAGGAAATTCGAAAACCTATCACACATCTTCTGGCACATTTTTGATGCATTTTGATGCATTTTTGATGCACTTTTGATGCACTTTTGATGCACTTTTGATGCACTTTTGATGCACTTTTCCTTTTTTTTTACATTTTACTAATTTTGCAAAAATCAACAAAAATTTTACGTAAAATCTTCTGGATTAGTAAAATTACTAAATTAGTAAAATTACTAGCTTTCGAGACTTAGGGCATACACACACACACCCACACGCAACACGAAGTATGTTCATCTCGCAACAGTGGGCACGCCATGCTTCCAGCAAAACGAAAGCATCTGTTCCCATTTTGTCTCGTTGTGTATGTTTGAAGAACTTAACTCTCCTGCCTCGATCGCATCTTCATCCTGAAGTCGCTTCTGCGCCCCACGCGCTGAATGCAAAGCCTTCTGCCCAAAGGCATGTGTGAGAAAAACACATCGCGATCACCCAAAATCGACAGCCGCGACAAGCTGAAGAGATCGAGGAACAATGCGCACAGTGACCCTGCATGGCATGCTCTGCAGGGCACATGGCCAAATGACCCCCGCCAGCCGCTGAGATAAGGTTTGCCTGTATACTTCTATAATTATGGAGCACACGACTGACATGGGCCTCTTCGCCCTCGTCTTCCGAGCTTTCATCGAGGCAGGTGGGCGCAATGCTGGGCGTACGCGGCGTGAAGGGGGCCACCTGTCATAGACATTGGTGAGTGAGAAATAGCTAAGCTGACACAAGCTTCTACATGCAGCAGTCGTGCTGTTACAAGAGAATCGCTCACAACATGGCTGCCTCGCAATCCTCTGCGGCAGCATCGGCCGGCAAAGTGGCAGGCATCTTCAACCTGGGAGGTCAGAACAAGTGTCTTGGAAGCACCCGAGCGCATCTGCTACACTTGCTCGTTCGTAAGCATCGAGCGCCGGCTCCCCAAGAGCGGCCCGGTGCTGGTACAAGAGAATGTACGCCTGAGCCATCAAAAAACTTAAACTTTGAATGACACGGCCCAATTTTGAATGATTTCTTGGCCCCGTTGGAACATTCAAAGCTTGAGCCGCTTGCAGTCAAACGCCCGGCCTCGTGCCCCAGAACCTCTGGCAAACTCACCTGCGCAAGCCGGTTTCATTTTCTTTTTTCGGGCACGGTCGATGTCTTTAAAGCCACGGCTCAAGTCTCCAGTTTTGGTTTCTTGGCCTTTGAAAACCACAGCCCTTCAAACCAACAACCCGCAAACCCACTAACCAACGGCAACAGCCTCTTGCACCACGTCATCGCTGAAGGTGTGCCACTGGCCGCGGCGCTGCGCATGCCTCATTGCGACCGCGGTGCTTGGCCGAGGCCTACATCTAGAACAAAACCCTGGGCCTGGTAGCAGCCTGTCGTTTCGAAGCCGGTGTGGTGCGGCACAACCTTAGGTCCATGGCCTATAGCTACTGCCCAGAACTTGCACATACCGATGCTGCTAGCGCTTGAAACGGCTGAGCCCTGCACGGCGATGAGCTGGTATGTTCCGAGCGTCTCGCCAAAGCGTGCCGGGTAGGGGACCTTCTTTAAAGCCTGCCTGGACAACAGCCGGCGATCTGAGGTGCTGTCGCGCAGCAATAATTGCTTGCAGCAGTTGATCGACAGTACCGCCCTTATTCACTATGAACATATCATCGCAGTTGATGGTTTGACATGGTTTGGGTCTGCGTTTGCACTTCGTGACGCTGTTGGGCCAGCTGAGATCTAGGCTGCTTTGGATCATATACCGTGCGCTTGAAGTTGATCGCAAGAACCTGCCATCAGATAAGATGGGGCCTGGGAAAAACAACAAAACAAAAGTCTTAGGGCGGTGAGCCGCAGCAAACCTGTCATCCACCCCTGAGCTCCAGCTTGGCAACGGCAAGCTGCTTGATCGCTTGCACATTTTTCGCACAGCCGCGGCACCTGTCACGTGAAAGCAGATGCGGCTGGGCGCCAAACTCTGCTCACCCCAAGTGCTAAGCCCGTCGCTTCCACGCGTTCTCGGGCGACAGCTGCTCCTTGCCTTCAAAGGCTTGCAGAATGTCCTGGCAAGATAGTCCAAAAGTCTACGGAGCCCACGCAACTTGGCTTTACGGCCTTTCCTGCGAGGGCCCCCGTAACCAAAAAAATAGGCACAGTCCGGCACAGTCCTCCAAGGTCGGAGTGGCCTCCGCCAAAGGCAGCGTCAGCAAGCGGAACCTGCAGCGAGAAAATTGCCGCCCACAATGAAGCTCGTGGGAATGCACGCGCGCACACACAGTCGCCCATCAAATATCTTTTTTGGTCGAAGAGAGCAAACACCGACGTATACAGGAATATAAGCACATATACGAGCACACGACATACACATACACAATCATACACACATACACACACACTCTCTCTCTCTCTCTATCGCTTGGTCGGGGCTCACGGCTACCGACCTATCCACCGCAATAGCTTGCAGACAAGCAGCGGGCACGACTCTCCAACGAAGACGCTGCCGCAAGCGGGGCACTCCGGGGTGCTGTCGACCCGGCCCTGCCGACAAGGCGCCATGAAAAACGTAGGACCAGCCAAGCATCTGCGCAAGTACGCTACATGAACTAAAAAATCACACAAGCCAAGGCCTGGAAAAGGCGGTCGGCGAGAGAGCCCGGGAGCACTTCCGCCATAGCATCCAGCAAGAAGCTCAGGCACTCGTCCAACGCCTTCGAGCCCTGCCATTGCAGAAGGAACCTGATCGGCATGCTTCCCGGCCTCCGCTTCTTGCAAGGAAATCCTTGCAGGAATTCTTGTGAGTTTGTTCCCCAAACCGCTCTTGATCTGAATGGGATTCCCAATTCTTGCCAGAAACGGCCTTTGTTCCTTCATGATTTGCTGGCTCCTCCTGCTTCCGGCTGGGGTTCCGGTGCTTGTCTCCCTTCTTCTCTCTTCTTTCTTTCCTCAGGAAAGGGGTTCTGTTCCATCATGATATGCATGTTCTTCCATGTTCTTCCTGGTTCCGGCTGGAATTCTGGTGCTTGTCTCCCTTCTTCTTTCTTTTTTGGTTCCGGTGCTTGTCTCCCTTCTTCTCTCTTCTTTCTTTCCTCAGGAAAAGGGTTCTGTTCCATCATGATTTGCTGGTTCTTCCTTGTTCTTCCTGGTTCCGGCTGGGGTTCCGGTGCTTGTCTCCCTTCTTCTCTCTTCTTTGGTTCCGGTGCTTGTCTCCCTTCTTCTCTCTTCTTTCTTTCCTCAGGAAAGGGGTTCTGTTCCATCATGATTTGCTGGTTCTTCCATGTTCTTCCTGGTTCCGGCTGGAATTCTGGTGCTTGTCTCCCTTCTTCTCTCGTTTTTGGTTCCGGTGCTTGTCTCCCTTCTTCTCTCTTCTTTCTTTCCTCAGGAAAAGGGTTCTGTTCCATCATGATTTGCTGGATCTTCCTTGTTCTTCCTGGTTCCGGCTGGGGTTCCGGTGCTTGTCTCCCTTCTTCTCTCTTCCTTGGTTCCGGTGCTTGTCTCCCTTCTTCTCTCTTCTCATCATGATTTGCTGGTTCTTCCTGGTTCCGGCTGGGGTTCCGGTGCTTGTCTCCCTTCTTCTCTCTTCTTTGGTTTCGGTGCTTGTCTCCCTTCTTCTTCTCTCTTCTTTTTGTGCCCAGGAAAGGGTTCTGTTCCATCATGCTTTGCTGGTTGTTCTTGCTTCCGGCTGGGGTTCCGCTGCTTGTCTCTCTTATTCTCTCCTCTTCTTTGGTTCCGGTGCTTGTTTTCCTTCTTCTCTCTTCTTTTTTTCCTCAGGAAAGGGGTTCTGTTCCATCATGATCATCATGATTTGCTCCTGGTTCCGGCTGGGGTTCCGGTGCTTGTGTCCCCTTTTCTCTCTTCTTTGTTTCCGGTGCTTGTCTCCCTTCTTCTCTCTTCTTTGGTTCCGGTGCTTGTCTCCCTTCTTCTCCCTTCTTTCTTTCCTCAGGAAAGGGGTTCTGTTCCATCATGATTTGCTGGTTCTTCCATGTTCCTCCTGGTTCCGGCTGGGTTCCGGTGCTTGTCTCCCTTTTCCTTTCTTTCTTTTTTTAGGACAAGGGTTCTGTTCTATCATGGATTCCCCGGTTCCTCCTGCTTCGGGATGGGGTTCCGGTGCTTGTCTCCCTTCTTCTCGCTTTTTTGGAACAGTACGGTTGAAGTAATGAAGGAGTAAAACAGAAGACAAGAGTGCGCCAGATAGTCTCATGAGTTTTGAATTGCACATCACCTTGTTGGAAACATGCGTTGTTGCTGTTTGGGGTCTACGCTGGTGTAATTTTCGGAAACCATAACCAGAGTTACGGGTTTAGTTTGTGGTTTGTTTTGTCAGTTTGCATTTTTGTCTGCTTCATGTGCGGAGCATTGCGGAGCTGTTTCATGCATCTCTAACTCTTAGAACAACCTGGAATGTAGAACCCGGAAATTCTGGAACCTTGGAACTTAAAACCCCTAAAATCTTGGAACCCTCGAACCTGGGAAACCTTCATTCTTCGGGTCCTGAAGCCAACTTTGCCCCGTGACGTTGCAATCTTGAAACCATGGAGAGCTCTAGAACCCTTTTAATCCCGGAATTCTGAAATATTGGGGTCATGGAGGCCTGCAACTTTGGATTCCTGAAGCACTGTAACCTTGGAACCGCACCCCGTGACAATTGCAGATTGGGATGGAACTCCGTCCTTGCCATTGACGAGTTCAAGGACTTACGCAGGACACCGGCGGCCCCCAAAGCGCGCCGGGAACAGCTGCTGGGGCTTGTGGGTGCGAGTCTTGAAGTCGATGCAAAACACCGGGCCGAGTTCACGGCTCATCCGGCATGCATCTAACTCTTTTAGCCCACGCAGCATAACCCCTTCCGGGATGAGGGGCTCCATGGGCCCAACCTCGCCCGGAAAGATGGGCCACTGATCCTGCTCGCCTTCTTCCACCTCCTCCTGGTACCCCGGCGCGGCCTTCTTCTTGGGCACTGGCGGGATCAAGTATAATCCCGCCAGTGCCAGTACATCAAGCCTGAGCTGTTTCATTATCATTTATTTCGCGCAAACATTACGCCCCAAAAAAACCCAAACAGTGATTCCATATCCATTGAACTTTTGATCCATGCCTAGTGAGAATAACATGAATCACAAACAATATTTTCTCATAAACCATGCTGGAATTTAAGACAGCAAGAAGACACAACGGGGATAGACAACGGATGGGAACAGGAAACAGGAATGACTTCATGACGAAGCTAAGCAGAGATGGAATTGGAGGTCAAATGACCTCGGAAACAGATCAAGTAGGAGACGCGTGATTGGAGACACTTGGGAGAAAGATAAATTGGGAGACGCATGGCGCGAGACAAAGGGCGAGAAACAAATGAAAGAAAACAATTAATGAACGCAGAGCCAGAAACCACTAGACAGAATAAGGAAAATTAAGTAGGAAACCACATTTGTGTTTCGGGACGACAATCGTTCGAGAAAGCTGGGCGACAAGTGGACGACAAGGGAGACAAACATGAACCACACATCATCCTGGAGACTGCTGGGAGACAACATCTGGGAAAACCCATTTGGACACAAGTGGGCCTAGAGATTGGAACGAAAATGGAAGAAGGCGGAGGACAAAGTGGAAAACTTAATGGAAACAAATTTCCGGGACAAGCTGGAGGCGAAGCGCAATGCAAGACACATTGGAAAACGCAGCGGGGGTGCAAAGTTGGAGGCGCAGTCGGAAACATGCTGGGAGACAAAGTGGGGCACAATGTCGGGGACAAAGTGGGAGACGCAGTGGAGAACAGGGCAGTCAACAAAGCGAGAGACAAGGTGGAAGACAAAGCGGGGGGATACGCTGGGAGACACAGGGGGGGACAGAGCTCCAAGCTTCCCGGAACCCTGCGTACATATGCGGAGGGAAGGAGAAGCGGTGATGCCCCCCCAGCTTCTGAAAATTGAAACCCAACGGCTTTCTGCCGTTGGAAGTAAAGGGGGCAGGTTAAGAGCCGGACACTTGTATAGGCACACCACGAGACACATGAAGGGAGACAAGTAAAGAGAGACATCCGGCGAGCCGGGCAGCACAAGGCACACGGGGAGACATGTAAAGGCCAGGGAAACCAATAAAGAGGCATTGGAGGACCATATCTCGAAGGCAACCAGGCAACAAATGAGACGCAATCGGGAAATGACTGTGGGCCACGCCTGGAAGACCGTTGGAAGTTGTGGGCGGCAAGCGTACGGCAATTCGGATGCAATGGGGGCACCACATCTGCAAGACAAACGCAAGACGTGACAGGTGGGAGACGACATCTGCAGGTCGGCTGGGCACAAGCGGAAGGCATTTGGAGGCGCTTGGAAAACCAATTCTGCGAGACAGTTGGGAATTGTGAAAAACAATGCCGGAAGACAATTGGAAGACCACATCTACATGACAGAAGGAGAGACAACTGTGTGACAAGTGGAGGACTAGGAGTGACACCAAGGAAGCAGGCAACAAGATGCAACCCGCGAACCCGAATGCTGTCACGTGGAACACTTTTGTGAAGCAAGTTATTTGAACAGCCTATATGTTTCCCCTGTTACCGTACCAGTGCGCTATAGACTGTGGAATGCAGAAGGGAGTGGAGTGCAAAGTGTGGAGTAGGGAGCGTAGAGTGTAAAGTGTAGCGTGCAGAGTGTGGAGTGTATAAAGTATGGAGCGAGGAGTGTACAGTGTCAAGTGTGGAGTGCAGAGTGTAGAGTACCAGTAGTGACGCACACGGCGGTGGCGGAAGTTTCAAAAATAGGAAACCGATAGGAGAGGTCGGTTGTCGCGAATCACGGAGGGCATTTGGCAGAGCGAGTCCACTGATGCATCGACAGGTGGTTGGAGTTGTGTTTTTTGGAGTGGTTGCCATGGTTGCAGCGGTCACCCTACCACAACTGCTGGATGTAGTGTGGTGTAGCGCGGTTGTAGTTGCAGTTGTAGCTGTAGTTGTAGTGTAGTAGAGCTGTAGCTGTAATGTAATGTAATTGGTTTATTTGCAAGTGCAGTTGCGGTTCTAGTCGTGGTGTGGTGCAATTAGTGTAGTGTAGTTCAGCGTGCTGTCGTGTAGCGTTGTGTTGTGTAGCGTAGTATGGTGTAGTGTAGTCTAGTGTAAGGTAGTTGTAGTTGCAGTGAAGTGCAGTGCAATTAGTGTAGTGTAGTTGTAATTGTAGTGCGGTGCAGTGTAATTAGTGTAGTGTAGGGTAGGGTAGTGTAGTATGTGTGGTGTAGTGTAGCGGAGCGGGGCGGAGTGGAGTGGAGCGGAGTGGAGCGGAATGTAATGTAGTGTGTTGGTGGTTGTAGTTGCATTTGTAGTTGTAGCACGCTGCAGTGTAATTAGTGTAGTGTAATGTAGCGTAGTATATTTGCATTTGTAGTTGTAGCAGTAGTGTAGTGTAGTGGTAGTGGTAGTTGTAGTTGTTATAGTTGTAACTGTCTATCTATCTATCTATCTGTCTGTCTGTCTGTCTGTCTATATATCTGTTTGTCTGCCTGTCTGTCTGTCTACCTACAAGCTTGAAAACGCAGCCATTCTGCAGGACTTCCTCAACTTTTGAACATGACAACGTCAAAAACGAAACAATTCTGCGAGACTTCCTTCAAATACGGAAAGTTGAGTGCAGAGCTGACGGCCTCGAACCAATGCGTTTTTGCGATTTTTTCCACTCCACCTGTCTAAAGTGCTGCGCCTGCCGCGACAAAAGGCGATGTCATGCCATACGAAGTGCTGCACCTGTCACGCAAAATAATCTTAGCAAACCTACACCTTTGATGAACATGTCCCTTGCACCGCGCCTGCCACGGAAAATGCAACTTTACAAATCCTCTTCAAACGCCTTGTGCCTGCCATCGTTTTTGGAAATGCCACAAAACCCTCACGTTACGCTCACTTTTGATAAGGTGTACAATCCCTTGCGCCTGCCACGCAAAACGACGCTTCAACGTCCAAAAGTGGCGCGAGCATGTGGTGCTTTGTGCATTTTGACTTGGGAATGTGCTTCGCGCCACAACGGCGTGCACTTCTTCGACATCTCAACTTCTAAAATCGCCCCGGAGCTGAGGTGTTTTGTACATTTTGACTTCGAAATGTGCTTCGCGCCACAACGGCGTGCACATTTTCGACATCAACTTCCAAAAGTGCTGCGAAACTGAGGTGTTTTAAACTTTTTCACTTGCAAATTTGCTTCGCGACACAACGGCGTCCACTTTTTCGACATCTCAACTTCCAAAAGTGCTCGGAACCCGTCAGCTTTTTTATGCTTTTGACTTTGAAATGTGCTTCGCGCCACAACGGCGTGCAATTTTTCATCTCTCATCTGGCCAGCTGGCTCCGCACCCGCCGCTTTAGCGAGCCTACTTATTTAGATCCTCCGGAGCCACAAGTCACTGGAAAAACACAGGGTATCGCGACTTTCCTACCTTTTCGCGCACTTGGATCTTCTTTCTTCTGAGAATTTCTCTTTTTCGATCTTCTTTCTTCTTCCGTTCTCTTCTCTGGCTCTTCCCGTCTCTGCTTTTAATCTGTCCATACTGTCGAAAGTTTGACATCTAAACTTCCTCTGGTAAAGTGTAGAGTGTCAAGTGTAGAGTGTAGAGTGTGAGGTGTGAAGTGTGAAGTGTGGAGTGTAAAGTGTGGAGTGAGAAGTGTAAAGTGCACAGTGAACAATGTAGAGTGTAGAGTGTAAGGTGCAGTGTGCAAAGTATAGAGTGTAAAGTGTAGAGCGCGGAGTGTAAAGTGTATAGCGTTGGAGCGCGGAGTGGAAAGTTTAGAGTGTGGAGTGTGAAGTGTCAAGTAAGGAGTGTGAAGTGGGGAGTGTGGAGTGTAAAGTGTAGAGTGTGGAGTGTAGAGTGCGGGGCATAAAAAAGGGGAGTGCAAAGTGTGAAGTGTAAATTGTAAACTGTGGGGTGTAGAGCGTGGAGTGTAAAGCGTACAATGTGGAGTGTAAAGCGTAGAGTGTGGAGTGTGGAGTGTGAAGTGTGGAGAGTAAAGTGTAAAGTGTAAAGCGCGGAGTGTGGACTGTAAAATGTAGAGTGTACAGTGTAGGGTGTGGAGCGTAAAGTATAAGGTGCCGAGTGTGGAGTGTAGAGTGTAAAGTGTAGAGTCTAAAGTCTAGAGTGCAAAGTGTGGAATGTAAAGTGTGGAGTGTAAAGTGTAAAGTGTGGAGTGTAGAGTGTGGAGTGTAAAGTGTAGACGGTGGAGTGTGAAGTGTGGAGTGTGGAGCGTGGAGTGCAAAGCGTGGAGTGTAAAGTGGGGAGTGTGTAGTGTGAAGTGTAGAGTGTAGAGTGTGGAGTGTAAAGTGTCAAGTGTGAAGTGTGGAGTGTAAAGTGTAAGATGTGGAGCGTGAAGTGTGGAGTGTGGAATGTAGAGTTGAAAGTGTAGAGTAGGGAGCGTAGAGTGTAAATTGTAGAGTGTGGAGTGCGGAGTGTAAAGCATAGAGTGTAAAGTGTGGAGTGTAAAGTGCGAGTGTAAAGTGTGGAGTGTATCCCCCTTAGACGCCTCACTATACACTGTTTGGGGTCTCTTGTCGGGAGAATTGGTATTCTAGCCAAGCCGCTGCAGGTCCACAGAGAGGGCGCTGCAGGGAGCACACCTGCGAGCAAGGTGCTTCGGAAGGCACGGCGCCTCCTGCTTCCGGAGAAGCTTTGCCAGCACCGCTGGGTAGAGTTCCGCGCAGAGTGCGCGGAAGTCGTCCAAGACGAACGGCGCTTGTGTGTGCTGAAAAGGGCCGCCATCTGGCCCTTCGCACAGGCCGTCGAAGAACGACGGAAGGAGTACCACTTCGGCTACACTCTCCTGCGCATAGCATCAGTTGTGATGCGTTGTGATAGTTTAGCAGTAAGTTTTAGCTTTGAACATTTTTTGTTTTTTAATTCCACACATGCATACAAGACCTCATATACGTTATATCAAATTACATAACCAAAAACCGCACGAGAGAACCCCATTCTAGACTTTGCTGTTAGCGCCCTTTTATAAATCTTTTTGTTGTTTTTTAAATAAGATGTAGGAATTCCATTTTAGACCAGTTTTGTTTGAGGGTTTAAGGTCATGATCCACCAAGGCCCCTGGGTAGTAGTTTAAAGTGCAAAACCACTTGGTAATGCCTGCAGGTTGTCAAGCAACCCCTTGCGTCTTGCAGAATCATTTCCTAACTACCCCATCATCTAGCACTACCTGCTTTTCTCGAAATCTCTTGCTCCTGGCTTTTCTTCAATGTCCTCTCAGCTGTTCTCGTCTCGTCTCTGCTCGTTTCATCCCTTCCCTTCCAACCCTCTGCCTCCCACTGCAGCGCCCTCCGTTGGCGGACCCGCCGCGCGAAGGGACCCAAGTCGATGCTGCGCTTGGCCGGTTTTGCCACGTCGTCCTAGACCAGCCAGGAATATATAAGAGTTAATGTGTCGGTGCTAAAACTTCGAGATGTAGCGGCACCGTCTGGCACAAACATACAATGACAATTATCAGATGAAGTTTCGTGGAGGAATTCCGAGTTACCGGCATTCACATTGGCACTAACAAAACAGATTACCAGGCCCGGTTGGCATGTTCCTGAAATAGAGGCGTAGCTCAAGAAATAACAAAGTCCAGTTGGCACGGTTTGTGCGCACTACTGCTGTCTTTTGCAGCTGGGCGTGGCAAATCAAATCTGGGCGGTCACATCAAAATGGCACCGTAAGTTGCGACCGGACGTTATTCTCATTTTGGCACTGATGAGTTTCCCTTTTAACTTCCTTTGGAAAAGTGCTTCAAACGCGTCCTTTTTCTGTGTGCTGTAAAAACTTCTCTGTGTGAAAGGTTCTGTGAATAAAAGACTGCTGTGCGTAAAAGCGTGCCTATGTGTAAGAACTGCGCTGTGCAGAAGCTGGCTGTGTATATATGCAAGCTTCTCCGTGCAAAGACTTCTCTGTGTAAAAGCTTCTCTGTGTAAAAGGTTCTGTGTGTAACGGCTTGCTCTGTGTGAAAGCTTTCCTGTTTGAAAGCTTCTCTCCGTGCAAAAGCTTCTCTTTGTAAAAGCTTTTCTGTGTAAAAGCCGGCGGTCTTTGAGAGCTTCGTGGGTGCGAAGGTTTTTCTGTGCAAAAGCTTCTCTGTGTAACAGCTTCTCTGAGTAAGAGTTTCTCTCTGCAAAAGCTTCTCTATGTAAAAGCTTGCTATGCGTAAACGCATAGGCGCGTGCGAAAAAGCTTCCGTGCGTAAAGGCTTCTGTCTGTAAAAGTTTCTCCGTGCACAAGCTTCCCTACGCAAAGACTTCTCTGTGTAAAAGTTTATCTTTCTCAAAGGTCGCTGCGTTTAAGAGCTTGATGTGTGTGAACAGTTTTTGTGCGCAAGCACTTCTCTGTGCAAAACTCCGTGTTCCAAACCACCAACCAGTCATTTGATCAAAAACAAGGATGTGCGGCAACTGACATATCTAGCAATATCTGCTGTATCTAGCTAACACACATGTCCAATGGCATATTGGGATATATTGGGATATAATGTCGATTATATTTATTATAGAATATCAATGAACATCATGGGATATGAGATAGCTAGCAGTAGGATTCAAACAAGTTTCTCTGAAAAAAAGTAGAATGTGGCAAACTAATAGGTATCGATTGAATGGAAAGGGATATGTTCCAGGTAAGTCAGGTTGCTGCAATATCACCACTGGTAGTCTAGGAGGATCCATTTTGCTGCATGTCCTGTTCACATTTGTTTGTTGTTGGATCTCAATCTATACTACATACTCTATATTAACCATGATCGATTAGCTATGATATATGGCTAAATATATAGTAGGATATCCCATTCTCAGCTTTCTGAAAACTTAACTCATCCTTGTCAGCGACAAGACCTATCGACAAACAAACGGTCTTTGGGGAAACCACCGTGGTGTTTGTTCAAGGGTACCGCAGGGTACCTGTATATTTTTAAAAAAATAAGTGTTTCCAAACTGGAAACCCAAACTGGATCCCATAGTTCGAGACGCCATGCCTACCCATGAAAAATCCCCCTTGAAGGTTGGTTACTTTCTCCGCTGTTGGTGAATTCACTCCTTGTTCATGAAATCCACTGGGCTATTCCTTCAAAAAAACACTGGTTAGATCACCAGATTCCCTAATTAAATCAACCCAATATGACGCCTCAAAAATCAGATAAATTATAATATAATATATATATATATTGTGTCAAATATATCCCCCTCCGGCAACAAACATGGTGAAAAATCCCCCTTTGTTCACAAAGATGTTCCCATAATTCCCACATGTTTTCCAAACAAGTCTTCCCCAGTACCTCTAATTTTCGACAATTATAGGGGATGTATATTCTCCCATCAATTTCCCATAATTAGTCCATTTCAACCTCTATTTTCATCTATTTACGGTTTTTTGTTTGGATCCTCCCTTGGTTTCACCCATCATTTTCACATTCAAAAACCTCCATTTATAGAACATCTTCCCATCATTTTCCCTCAAACTATTCGGTCATTCCCATCCCCATCCATCCCCTACCGGTAAACTGACAGTTTGCTACTGAATATTACCATCGAGTTCGTTGATTTACCTGATTTTTTCCGACTGGTGATTTGATTTATAATAGTTGATTTAAATATGGTGATTTGAATATGGTGATTAAATGTAATGGAAAATCACCATTTATAATATTACCATTTATTTATATTTATAATTGAAAATGGTGATTTTCCAGTGCGCAAACTGTATACCAGAGGCTGACATCTCCTTGCTGAAGCTGGGCGGCCGTTGCACCACCTCCCCGAACTTCGGCGCCGTCGAAGGCGCGGCCGGTGTGGAGACCTTCGAGGCCTTGGCGCGGCGCTTGTCCTTCAGCGCCCGGGCACGTTCCTGGCGCTGGGACCCCCCCTATGAGGGGAGGTTTTGGGAAAATCATCCAAAAATTGGGGGATGCGGGAATGTTGCATTACCATGTTTGATGACCGGAGGGTGTTTGATGAGGGAACAAAGGTGTCTTAAAACAGGGTATCCCCAAAATCCAATCATTTCATCGCCAAAAACCATGACTGGACGATAAAAATCCCACCATTTTCAGGTACACCCAAGTATCATTTTTTTTCGGAAGATCATGTTCTATCAACCCATACTTTTTAAAGATGTTTTCCGTCACATTTTTCCTTTCGAATCTTCCCATGGTTAACCTCGCCGGTCCCGCCTTTTGTCTCTCCTTTTGGTGGTCGGTGTTGGCTTTCTTCTGCACCACCTGAGGACGTTGGGACGTGACTCCACGATGGGACACACTGGCTGGCAACACAAGTAACAGTTTGGCCGTGTCCTTTTGGGTGGTATACATATATTATAATTATACTTTATATATATATATTATATATATATGGCATATATACATTTATATATATATATATGCATATATCGCACACAATGCATTATGGCATATATACCAAGCAAAGATAAATATAACCAACAATATGATGTGTCACAGTTTGACCCTGGAAATTGCCAATTTGTTAGTGGAAACTAGTCTTCCAACCCCCAACTTATGGAAGGGTCTATGTTAATTTACTGCAGGGTAGCATGGTTGACCATATTATGCCAGGGTGCCGGAAAACCATTCCAGCAGCAACTGTTGATATCTTGTCCTTTGCCAAATGGTTGGAACAGTTCTTGGCAATCCCCAAGCCTGAAAATAACCCAGCAATCCAATACTGGATAATGATTCTCACCATAAGAGCATGCAATTTGAGGGTTGGGTACACCTCATTAGACAAAGCCATGTGGGCCAAAATTATTTTAAAAAATAGATGGCTTAATACAAAACATATGGGCCAATTCCCGCCTCAAGACTCATACGCATGCGATACCACCATTTTTTCTCATGTATTGCAATATAAAGTTGGATTTCACCATGTTTACGATTTTCAGTAACTGGTCTTATGCCATCTTATGCCCATATGCACCCATTTTCTCTGTTAAAATTAATGAACTGTTGCTGATTCCCCCATGAAACCAATGATAAAGCCAGCATTTTGGTAAGAAAAACCCACCACTTTCCACCATTTTTTGGGGTGGAAAGTGGTAAACCAGGCGCCTGCAGTTTGCTCTTCACCGCCTGCTGCAGGCGCCGCGAATACTCCGCCACCGTCTCCAGGGGTCGCTGCTTCGGTAGTGGCGTGGCATCCGCACTGACCTCCTGGCGAAAAAAACGACCAAGGATGGACAGTCCGTGGATTTCATGGGGATTTCATGGGGGTTTACCATCTGGTTATGACTAACAGTTTGCCATGGTTAAGCCATGGCCCTAATCGAAATAGATGGTTTACCGAACTTCAAAATGGGTGGATTTTCCATGGCAAACTGTTGAATATGTTAGTCATAACCAGATGGTAATGGGATTTAATGGAACTTCATGGGGATTAATGGAATTTCATATGGGAATTTAAATGAATTTAATGGGGGCAAAAGGATTAATGGGGATGAAAGGCAATTAATTGGGATACATCAATGGGATTGAACTGCAATATCAACATTTAATGGAATGAAACTACAGCAACAATAATTAACTAACACATATCATTTATGAATATGGATTGGTTGATATACCCACTAGTGGTTGGCCAAGATATACCCATAATCTGACTGAATTACAATGATTCAATGATTTACTAAACTGAAATCAATGGTAATTTCAGGATCCTAAAACGAAGGTACTGTACATCTAAGGCCATATTTTGTGGGGATATTCCCTGAAACAAAGGACTAAAAAATAGGCCTTATGGTAGGTACCTCCTTCATGAATCGGTACCTGGAGTTGCGATGAAATGCTTGATCATCTAGTGACGTCGCAGGGTTTCTCTGGTATATTCTATCCAAGTCATTGGGACGTAGTTAGGGATTGAATCCATGACTTGATCCATACGATGGGGTCATAATGGATTCCATAAGGGTATACCATGGTATACCTGATACTTTTGAACATTTAACAACCAAAAACTGAATACGATGTGAGATATCATGGGGGATATACTGATATACAACCAACATCAACCAACAATAGGATATAGTTAGTACTCACATACAGGAGGAATTATGGGGATATCACTTGATATCACCAAAAAATGCGATGACCATGGATGGCCCCATGGTCATCAACTTCAATGAACTAATTTACTATCCACTTAGTAAGTGGCAATCAAACATGGCAATGCAAACTCCCTATGTAATTACAAATGATTGTCCAATTCAAACCTCCATTTAGTTCGGAAATTTCCCAGCTAGCATCAGCTAGCTGTGTTTGATTCCTAGAGGGTAACTAGGGATATCATGAAACCTCAGCCGCAGTGTCCTTAGGCAGCGCCGCCTGTGAAATGTCGAAGGCGCCGCCCAAGTTCTGCCGTTTCGCCGGGCGGTCAAGGTTGGCTTCGGCCTGGCGAACGAGAGACGGTGCCCTGTGCCCTGCGCCCCGTTTTCGAAAAAGTTGAAGTTTAGTTAGAGTTGATTTGATTAATCTTTGATTATATAATTTATAATGGTATCATAAGTGATAATTGTTTTTTTTGCTTCATTTTTGTTTCCTAAATCATTGATCGAAATTAGCTTCAAAATCAACACGTGCGGTACCAAGCGGAGTACGTTGAAGATGTTTGATCATTTTTGCCAGCACTTCTCGCTGAAACCAAATCAACAGCTCGTGAACTTTGCAAGGGGTCCATTCCCGTGAGTTTATCCTCCATGTTTAGTAGACATAACCAAAAACCACTGAGAATACCTGAGTCATGGCTTACACGTTTGGAACGCACAAGATTCACAAGACGTATGGTTCCCCTTCCTTCGACCATCGACTGGTGAAGCTTGTGGCATCCCATGTTCCAGGGAACATCGCTGGATATCTTTCGGTGAATTCCGTTGAGATAATAAACCTGAACATAGATTGCCAAAAAAACACATATGCCATTGCACGGTGGCTTTAAGACACAACATGCAACACAATATACAACTGGAATTGTGCAGACATTTGACGTCGACTGTTTTGGGCATGGCTTAGCTGGCTTAGCCAGTTAAGGTCGGCCATGTCACCACGTGGATTGCAGATGATGATCAACCATGGGATGCTTATTGAGGTGTTTCCCAGAATTTCGGGGCATCACTTGCCAAAACCCATGTGATATCTAATGAATATTATAGTAAATAATTTATAATTATATATATATATATGTGTGTAGATAAACCCATCATTAGGTTTCCCATCATCATCTTCACAATCATATCTACTTTCTCATCTTCACAATCACATCTAATTTCAAACGATGATCACCCCTTTGTGATGATCAATTTTTGACAAAAACCATGTCAACCCCGCATCTGGTCCCCCAAATAGTGATAAGATAAATTATGAAAATTAATCTGCTACACAAATGGTACCCCACACATTTAAACAGTCAGTCCAAGGCGTCAACAATCTCCAGGATTGATTATTTGATACCATGGAAATAAACAAACAATAACATGCTTCACATCCGGGAAGAGACTGCATTTTTTTTGGGACATGAGGGAAGCCCTTCCACTTCGCACCTTCATGATGGTAAACATACAAAAAACTATGGAAAGATCCACCATGCTATGAAAATGGGCAAATCCACTATTTCGACTGGACCATGTTCAATAATTAGCTATGTAAACGTTTACCAGGGGGTAAACCATCTACCAGAGGCTATCCCATTTTTCGCCCCACCTCCTTGGCTCTCTCCCTGCGACGCGCTTTCTTCGACTTTGGGGCATGCGCGGGACCCGCAGCGCCCGTGGAGGGAGCGCTGGTGGCCAAGATGTCCTCAGTTTCTGGTGGGTTCCATCAATGGGGCTACCCATGGCTACCCCCAAATGGATGGTTAATGGAAAATCCATGATAAACTATAGATGATTTGGGGGTACCCGCGATTCAGGAAACCTCCATGTGTAAATAGTGGATGAAAATCAAACACTGAAATGACGAGCGTTCAATAAACCAAATCCTGGCCGTAGCCGAGCGTTGAAAATCGTCAACCCATGATGACGAACCCTGCGCAACGCCAAGCCACCGAGATGAAACCTCTTGCGTTTCTCTATTCGGTGTTTGGGGAGTTGAAAGTCCCCAGCTTGGTTGGCACTTCAATAGCATTCTTACTAGCACCGCAATTGTTGACAGGGATACCTTAATGCAAAATCATATGCATGGAGTGCCTGGCGACTGGTATCAATGATCTAGATTTAGTCTTTGGAATGCCGGGCTGGATACTGAAAGGAAAGTTTGGTATGTGTAATCATCCAATTAATGGCCCTTCGTTGCTTCTGAGGTTGCCATCAGCTGTCCATATATATATATACAAAAATGCACCATATAATTATAGTACATAAAAACACACACATATATAAGAATATACATACATACATGCATACATTACATTACATTACGTTACATTACATTACATTACAGTACAGTACATTACATTACATTACAGTACAGTACAGTACAGTACATACATACATACACACATACATACATACATACATACATACATACATACATATATATATATACACATATCCCGATTAGATGTTGGTTGATGTTGGTTGTAATTCTTTCCAGGTGCACTCTGTGAGTAAGCCTCAAGCTTCACCCAAGCGCGCCGCAAAAAAAGGGGGCTGAGCTTCTTTCCCGCCACCAAACATGGAGCCAAAGATGGGCGGAATGTCGTTGGCATCCTTGTCTCCTGCCACAAACGATCGCTGTCTCTGTGAAAACATGGGGAAAACATGGGAAAACCCCACTGAAATATCTTGGGATCATGATCAACGAACAAAAACGAAATCATGTATCAATGCAGTACGCTACCAGCCCGCTCAGGCAGGGGAGAACCAGGCTATCATGTTGGAAATCACCTGTCTTGTGCCACTGTGTGGCAGTGGTTTGTGTCATGAGGTCTGGGCATTCTTTTCTGCAACTCAAATCATAAAGCAAGGATTTGGAGATATTTCCCTCCACCAACCGTTATTACCCAAATGATGATTCTCATACTTATGGCTACTCATTTGGTACCCCGCACAACATGCCTTTTATCTCTTCCTCTGGTGCATATATGTATAAATATATATATATACTTAACCCATCTACAGAAGGTTCCTGTAATGTATGTTTTAGAGTCCCCTTCCCCTAATACTGAATGCCCGCTATGTGGGCCTCAAAATTAAACAGATCCAAAACTAAACCGGGGTTTCATTTTGGTAGCACTTAGATTGGCACAAAGAGATCAATGATTGATACCATCTGCTACTGGAGTGGTCCCCGCCAATCATCAACAGCCCATGGTTTTTTTGCCAACTCCAGGGTTGACATCAGAATATCGTGGGAATAAACCAGCAATAGGCATGATTAAGCATGCAAATGGGAAGAGTTTTCGGATGTTTTCGGGATATTTACGTACACGTAGCTATGGAAAATCACCATCGTTCATAGGTAATCAACTATACATGGGCGATTTTCTATAGCACTGCAAACGTTTACCAGAGGCTAAGTTTCCCAGTCCTTTGGTCGTCCGAATTCAAAAACCCAACCGCTCGGACGGTTCCTTTGGGCGCTCGGCAGCGCTCCTTCTTGCTGTGATGAGCCATCCTCAAATGGGACGACGTTTCGGGCGAGAAAACTCAGCCGGAAAAACTAAAATTAGGTGGTTGAAATTATGGAACTCCGTGGCCACCATTTGTTTTGGTTCCCCCCCCCAAAACAAAAAGCATGTTTTGGTGATTTTTGATATAAATGTTGGGGTAAATGTGTGCCTGGGCATATGCAAACCAGAACCGACTCAGCTTCTAATCCTATCGGAAACTGCAAGATCTCTCTTTGGGAAGTTTGGAGGCCTGATGAAAAATCGAAAACCGAGTTCAGGCAACACCCACTAGTAAACTAACATACCTTTGGGAAATCACCATTTTCAAGAGGTAAATTCACTGTAAAATACATTGGATCGCCACGTTCAATAGATGTCCTGGCTCAGATCATCGGGGCTCGGCCGCCCGGCCCATCTCTATTTTCCCAAAAGGTCCCAAAAACAGTTAGTTAGTCAAAGCATAGGCGCATTCACCAAAAAAGAATGGAACCTGCTTGAGCAGCCTGCTTGTCTGTCTTTTTTGAGGGATTTTGAGGGTTACTATCGCCAAACGGTTTGCTACATCATACTACATCTCTTCTATGGTTGAATCGCCCCAACTTACCCTCAGAAATGTGACACATTTTGGCTGCATATAATGAGGTTAGGCATCTGCTGGCGCACGTCCAATCCGCGATAAACTGGATCTTGAGCTTTGAACTTTCCTGCAGATTTTGCGGGGTGATGCCCAACTGGGGATTTGCACTCACCCGACAAAGAATATGGAGGTAACTGCAATGACAAACAGCAAGTAAAGGGTAGGACAAAATGATGGAATAAAATAGGCGGCATAATGGGTTCATATAGGTTTTAAACATGAATTTCCTAGAATTCTGGCCATCCGCACACACAAAATCCATATGACTGAATGCAACACCAAGGTGCTCTTTCCATTGCTCCATGCCTCAAGCAGCATGGCAGGGATCAAGTCTGGAGGTTTTTGATGGAGCCGGGTTGGTGGCTATCCTCACTAGCCAAACACAGCCAAACTGACGGACGTTTGCTTTCTATGACCGCGAAGCAGTTGCAAAGCTTCAGAAGGTTTATTTCAGCAGCACCCGAAGAAACCATTGGTGACTTTTTTGCTGGCTGCTCTTTGCTCCCGCCCATCCCTCAGCAAAGCCTTGTCCTTCTTCTTGGTTTTAGTTCGGCCCCGCCCCATGGCACCACTGACGACAGAACTGTGCTCTGTGGCTGTTTGGCTGTGGAAGATACAGCTAAATCTCCTGCATGCAGGTACTTGTAGCTGTGCCACTCCAGTCCAAATGAACGCCTTCAGCCAACAAAACAATATGTGGTATATATGTGGTATAACCGTGGATATATGTGGTATAACTCACCATCTATAGATTATAGATATCTAATTATCCATAGGAAACAATGACATGTTGACCACTGGTGCTGCCCAACGTTTTCAGCATCCCTTCAGCAAGCTGACAAACCCAAAAGGCTGCTGGGGCTTGTGCAGTCAACACTTCGACTAGCAATGCGCTCTTATTTTGGCGGCAATCCCCTGACAAACTCGCATCTGAAACAACTTTCTGGTCAAACTCCAAATGGTTGAAAGAATGCAACCAGCTCGATAATCCATCTTGGAAAAACATGCGCAGACAATTGCGCCTATTTGGTGTTCATCTGCGGAATGAAAACGGAGGGTTTGAAGTTCGGAATTGCAGGGAGAAATTCCAACATGAGGGGCGGATGCATATATCTTGGCATGTCAAAAGCCAACAAAATGTTGGTAACGTTTGATGTGTTTGCAATGTCTCCAGCATCAAACTCAATCAAATCTACCATTCCCCAATCAACATAGAACCCAACCAACCACCCATCTGAGGAAAATTGCCTTCCAAACCCCTATTTGCCGGGTCCATTTCTAGTTGAGAGAATAGTAATGGATAGTTATTGCGTTACAATTCCAAAGTTTCCGCCCAAAATCTCAATTTCAACTGATGCGACGGTCTTGGCGGCAAAGCAACCCCTGTGAACTGCAATTCATGACGAGATCGAGTCTTAACTAAGGTTTCTACAGGTGTGTTCTACGCAGGGCGGATCGAAACCGTGTACCCCTTGCTTTCACATCAAAATGACTCGTTGTCATGGATGTTCGTCCACTTGAAAAATGGGTTCTATGGATATTGATCCATAAAGCATCTATTTAATTTACTCTTTTGTAAATCAACATCTAAAACCATTGACAATCACCATGTTTCAAAGGTAAATGATCAAAATCAAAAATCATCAGTGGAACATTTAATGCTCTTTTTCAGAGGAAATTCACCAACAAAATTCAAAAATCATCAAACATCATCTATCAATATAATATCTATCAATGATCAAACATCATCTATTTCCATGGAACATGGCTTCCATGGCTTCCATATCTGTACCCTCTGGTAATTTAACAGTTTGCTATTGAAAATGGCCATTTATAGTTGATTTACCCATTAAAAAATGTGATTTTCCATAGTTATGTTAGTTTACCACTGGGTAAGAGGAAATTCACCAACCTCAATGGGCCATGGTTTCCGCAGATTCCTCGGCGCATTGGAGCCAGACCGGTCGCTCACGTTGCACCTGGTAAACGAAGCAAGGGTGAAAAAAAACCGCTGGAAATGGTGGTTTAGCCATGAATAAATAAGGATTTCATGGTGTTTAACGGGGTTTTAATGGGTTTTAATGGGATATAATGGGATATGAATGGAATATCAATGGTGGAACAGGGATTGAACAGTTGTTTGCATGGTATTTGAATGGACAAATCATGAAACAAACATCTATTAATGGCGGATTTTCCACACAATACTATCCATATTTGATTCCCAGAGAGTAGTGTCAACCAACCAGTTTGGCACCAATAGTCTGTCATGGTAATACATGGATTCTTTGTTGTGACAATTATGCTTCAAAAAACATCCAAAAGGGTCATCCCAGGTTTAAACCAACCCATGGGATTTTGGTGTTTCAAAAGTTGAGACGAATACTAAAATCTAAACCAGCATCGAATCTTTCATACAACAAAATACACCCGAGATTGCATCCCAACAGCAGATCCCCCCTTAACGCTCATAGTTCATAGCGCTTCATATAATAAAAGCAGGGCAGCTCTTGATTTTTCATTGTTCTTTGGAGCCAATAGTTACTACAGGTTAGCCGCAACAGCCCCATGAGCCCGCAAACGCTTCTCATCGCGAAGCGACCCGGATATAATAACAAAAGGATGTAACGCCTCCCTCAACTTCGATTTCAAACGCTAGGGATGTCGGGTTCATTCTATGATATATACTATATACACATGATCCCATTATATCCCTATTACAAATGATGTCTTTTGAAACAACCCCCTGGCATCCAGGCGCTCGCCCGGCGCCTCATCCTGCAACAAAGCTTCGATGCGTTCGTCGTTGCCGAAGCCCATGGCGTCGCGGGGAAGGAAACCCACACCTTGAAACCGCGTCAGCTGAGCATTGCACAGCGTTCTGGGTCATCCATGGTCATTTAAGCACTGCACCAATGGGTACCCTTTGGTAATGACTAACATAACTATAGAGTTAATCACCATAGAAATAGTTAATTTTCCCATGAATAGCATGGTGATTTTCCATAGTTATGTTAGTTTACCAATGGGTAATTCGCAACATGGGATGGTTTTTTTTTGTCATCCCATTTCATGGTATAGCCGTTACCCATTGATACCCATTGATACCCATTGATACACATGGGAACCCTTCTAATGGGCATTATAATGGGTATATAGATCTCTATGAAATTGACTATCCCCCAAGGATTGTCACACATATGACTTGGTCTGAGGTTATATCCCACAGTTGTGGAACTAGCGTGGGCAATGATTTAAGCGATTTAATCCTGACATGGGGATAGCCCAATTGCCCAATTTAAAAATCAACGAATGTTTAGGGCCACGAATTACAATCCATTCAGTTGGCTTTCCGTGTGTTTAATAGTAGGGGGAAAGGGATGACTCAATATTGTGCAAGAAATTTTGGACATATAGTACTTTGGTATAGGTCCAATATCATCAATATCCAATCGACAAGCCATCCTTGGATAGCGATCATGATATGTGGCCAAGGAGCTTCCAACGAATCCACCCAAACGCAGCTTGGAAGCGAGTTGGAGGTAGATGTCCAAGGCTGCAGTGCAGCCTGTGCTATGCCATGTGGCAATTGGAAATGGGTTTGTGGGGTTTATGGGATTTAAATTTAAGCCCCTTCCCACCATTGAAACAGCTACCAAACCTCGGACGTCCGCCTGGGACTTCGCCAAAAGGTGAGGCTGATCATGTTTGCCCAGAATAGATGCACATATACATATACATGTATATGTGTATATAAATATATAAACACCGCATATGACAGAAATAGTAATTGCTAATTAACCGTGATTTCACACGTATTATTAACACATTGAAAGCGGTGAAATATGTTTGACATCTTTTGACGACTATTCAATATCTTCAACACGGGTTTGTAATGAATGATCCGATCCAAGTGTTGAATTCCTTTATATGGCCACCCGTCTCCCAAACAAAAACACAAGGGTGTATTGGCTGCGTTCGATCATACTTGGATGTGAATCCTCGTTGATCTATAGCTTGGAAATGCCCATACATGCTATGAAATAACCCAATGTATGTCGGAAATTCATTCAAGTTATCAATCACTTACCAAGTGAATCTCTTTAGTTCCCAAGTAAGCCTGTTATGATGTCGGACAATTTACAGCTAAATCTCCATTTTTTCATAAACACATGATGTCCATTGATGTCCATTGATGTCCTGTAGATTTCATGATCTAACCGGTCTAACCAGTCCTTCTCTTGGTGGGAAATGGATGGACATCCTGAAAAAATCGACAGGCAATGCCCTCACCTTGCGACAATCCTCCCAGGAAAACGAGCTCACTGCGGCCACCCAGCAAGGCCACCTGGATGCCCATTCTGCAGACAAAATCCTAGTAGCCCTAGAGGGTAGCCATAGCTGGTGCTGGGACAGTCAAACATCCAAATGGATCCAAATGGTGGAATATATTCCAATGATGTCCAGGAGACAGACAGAGTTTTCTATCACAAATCACGTATGAAGCAGCGATTTGAAGGTGATAAAAAGATACTCATTGACATTGAGGTACTAAACAACTAAACATGGGCGAAAGAACGTCAAGAACCACTGGATGCTCAGAGACCCTATATGTTTGCCTCTCTTTGCAGTTTCAAAACAGTATATCATTATACATATATATGTATATATGTTATATAGATAATTTATGATATATGCTATATGCTATATATATATATATTTAACAACAATAATAACAATAAGAACAACAGCAGTCACTGGGTCGAAGAGTTGTAAGGACCTCCTCTCGTAAGATCTTCTCCAGGCGCTGGCGCGTCTGCTCCAAGGAGCTGGGATCACCTGGGTTTCCCACCTGGTGATGGGTTCCCACCTGGAAAATGGTTGGTTTATGCTGGTTAAACCATGCCCAAAACCAGGAAAAATGGCTTGGTTCTGCTTGGTTTATGCGTGGTTTATACCATAGAAATAGTGAGTTTTCCCATTACAAATGGTGATTTTAAGCATCTTGCTGGTTGGTGGTGCAACTTTTCCATCTTGAAAAATATGAGTTCGTCAATGGGAAGGATGACATCCCATATATGAAATGGAGAATTAAAGCCATGTTTGAAACCACCAACCAGGATGTTTATGGCATTGTTTATGGCATGGTTTGACCCACATTGTCATTGATACATCATTATCTTATTTTTTAGATGTCAACATTTTCATATAGTTCTATACCTATGCGTATGAATGTACATGTAAAATGTATGGATATATATACATCTATTTTACCCAAAGATGTGTATTTACTTCCCAAACATGCAAGTATGTATGTCCGTCGTATATGCATGTTTGTGGGATGTTTGTGACCATATGACTCTACAAATATAGAATCAAAATTATAGGCACTAGTTCGCCAAGTTTTCATGGGAGACCCTCCCGGTAATAAATGTTGTTTTTTGACAAATATAGGGTTCGCGATGGGTGTGTGGTAGTTATGTGATATATATCATGAGATATCTAGAGTTTATCCACATTGATCCACTATGATGTGGGATGTTAATGAATATTATACAACATTGTTTATAGTAGATATCGTTGATGGATGTTGATGGGGTTTCTGTCGCCACGGTGATGGTGAACGGAGCAATTCAGCCAAGCTCCCGGACCTACCCGGTTACTGTCCGCCCTTTCATACCTTGGTGCACCGCTTCCAAGGCGACCGCATCGCGGGCACCGACAAGTCGCGCGTCGCACTTTTTTGCGACAGCCGACTGCAGTCGGAAGTGTTTTAGATGAAGCGATCCATGGAATTCACTGTGCAAGGCACACTGACTGCAAGGCATGGCCAGGTTGCAACATTCCTGATATTTCCTGATCATTCATGGCATGGTTAGATTATGTTAGATTCATATACTTTGACAATTGACTGCAATAAAATGAAGCGATTTTCCCAGCTAAGGATTCTCAGCCCATCAGGGGTGCCAAAAGCGATCTGGCTTCGCTATTGGAGCTGTGCAGCCCCTGGATGTAGGGAACTTGCTTTGTAACCCATTTCTGGCTTTCAAAAGGCCATAGAAGATATGCAACTTGTTCCAACTCAAGAAACCTTCATGCTGACTCTCCTTAAGAAACACATGCTTAATCTTACTGATGCTAAACGCAGGGAATTTTCGGGAATGATCCACAATAATTAGCAATAATCATCCCAGCAACCCCCAGTCCCATCCAGCAACCCTACTAAGATCTACGTTTAGCACCAGTAAGTAATCTGTTTTTTTTTACCAGAAATCTTCTCCGGATCGCATCCAATGGGAGAAATCCCCCGGCTCGGGCTTGGCTCCCCGCACGGATTCTCTTCCGAGAATAGGGGAGGAACAGAGGCAAAGCGCATTGCGCGCCGGGCTTTGCGGAGGATCTGCTCCCCATCAGGGGTAACTGGGACGTGTATTCCTTATCCAGCCTGATCCTGAAAATGAATCACCAGAAAAATCAGAAAAATGGCTTGAGATAATGCTATCTGAAAACAATTTGAAACATATGTTTCAGGTGAGAGTGAAAACAAAAGCCGTTGGGAAAACACAACGATGGATATGGGATGGGATGGGTCAAAAAATGGCAGAACAAAAACTGCATCTTCATGATCTTCGATCATGGCCTACCAGGTAGATGTGGAAAATCCATGGTTCCCTTAGGAAGTCATGACGTGACTAAAGGTTCGGCATTCTGCCATGTTATTCTTATACCCTCTGGTTATGACTAACAGTTTGCCATGGAAAATCACCATTTTTAATAGGGAAACCATCTATTTCTATGGGCCATCTATACCATGGCTATGTTAAATAACCACAGGTATATGTTGTATACTGTTTTATGTTGAATTGTTTTTACTGAAAATCCACCAAAAAAACATGTTTTTGACTCCCAGTTTGTTGCTTCACAACCTCTGGTGATGTTTTTAGGCTTGTGGAAGACCCTCTCTTCCCATTTTCAAGGGACCAAGCTGCCGCCACCAAACAAGCTGCAAAAGGATACGGAGGATACGCACGGGCCCTGCTATCTGCGAAGCTGTCGCCGTTTGGCAAAAGCTTCAGCTTTGAAGAACTCGAAGAATCACTATATATAATATATGTATATATATATATATCAGTATATCGAAATCGTGAGTTTCAAATCATTCGAGGAAATTCTCGAGCTTCCAGATCCGACTTCAGCATTCAACCGACCGGTGACGACCGGTGAGGCGCGGCGCCATGCGGCACGTGGGCTTCAACGGCGCCAGGCGGCACGTCAATGTCACCGTAGGAAGCAGCGGCATTGTCAGGGTCCGCAGACTGTGGTCATATATATATATACATACATATTAATATATATTAATCAGTTAGATAGTATATATAGAAGATACTTGAAGTATGTTCATGTATTTTCATGTATTTTCCTATACTACTATGAAGATCTATTGATGCACAATCATCATCGTATATAATTAGTAGATACAACATGATACAAGCATCGAATTCGGACATTCTTGCGTATTAACCATCCAAGTTTAAGAATACTGAATGTGTTTGATTCAAACATGCACAAATCAATATTTATGTGTTTCTGGATCTTAGCTATGCAGAAAAAGAAAAGGTCGCTGGAATACCGTTGGATACCAAATGTTCTTTCATCAAACTGGCTAAAATAACAATAAACCACTCCCCAACCATTCATCAGTAGCTGGGTTGTAACCTGTTGTGCCCTTTGGCAATAAAACTTGGCAATGGAAAACCATTTCAATTTTGGCATCAATTGCTAGATTACTGTGCTTCTTTGAGATCAATCAAGCACATGTTCATATCTGTTTGATTACCGGATGGTACCATCTTTCCCAGAATTCAAGGGGCTACAGGCAAGCCCTAAAAATCAGGAAAAACATATGGGTTTCCTGTGAGTTTTCCCATCATGATCCATCCAACTGCCCCAGAAGTAACGGTTTGTTGACGTCCAACTTGTAGCCAAAGCACCAAATGTGTTGTGAAACTTCTCTTCCAAGTCTTCAAGTGGCTTCAATCCATCCGAAATATGAAAGTCATGGGGAAATTTGAGAGCTGGCCCCTCCATCAAACATCATCCAACAGGAGTTTTTCTCCGGTATCCACCATACATCAACTGTCATGGCCTCTGAGGTACTAAGTAGTTTGCTGTGAAAATCATCGAACTAAATTCACTGGATTTCCCAGCCACGTTTGATGAAACCCGGTATCGCATGAAAAATTATCCAAACTTTGGCCAACATGAATCGCGCAGCGATGTTAGTGCTTTCCTGCTTGACCCTGACTTTAAGGGCTCGGATGATGATAGCGATGCTGCGAAACAAGTTTCAGAAATGATTGCCGTTTCTGAGAAGCAAAAGACTGGCTAATCAGATCACAAAAAAGGATGAATGCAACTCAGCTCTACACGTTTACCTGGTTCCGTTCAAATGTGCAGCAAGGATTATAAAGGCCAGAGAAACAAAACAAAAAAACAACAAAATCATGGCAGATCACTATCACCAAAGGGAGCGAAAGAGAATAAAGATACATCCAGTACAGGCGGGTCCGTTGTTCCCGTTCCAGAACTTTTTTGTTGCTTCCTCCTCCTGACTTTTGATCAGAGGGGAGCACCTTTTGAATAGCAAAACAGCGGGCAAAAATCCGCAAAAGGTAAGGAAATCCTGAATCATCAGGATGCAAAAAAAATCACTCAGCATAACCCCTTTTCCCACACAAACACACCTCAGCAAGACTGGTTTATCGCCTTTATCGCTGTCAAACATGTTCTGTTCATATTGGGATCCCAATGGATCTCATGGGATCCCAAGGGACTCTGGGGAAAGGTTTGATGAAACCAACGGACGCAACGCGAGGAAAGCGCGCAACGGTCCGGCTCGTTGTCTTTAGTGACGGCGCCCGGAGATGGAAAAACCAACCCTTGGACCTTTTTAGACATGTGAGCAGCAAGAAAACTGAGAAACAAATCCAGAAACACCAGAGATCCAAATGCATCAAATGGAAAACAGGCATGTCAATCAAACAGCTTCCGACAAGTCCTTTCAAATTGAAATATGTTTCTCAACATTGGGAGAACTTTCGCCTCATTTCGGGACTATGTCCATCGCTTGGTAGTGAAAAAAACTATACTCGGTTCCAGTGCTAAGTCAGGCATGCCCGCGTAAAGTCAAACATCCGCATGGGCATGGCTAAAGTTTTAAATTGGACGTTCAACATCGACTCTCCTTACTCTTGTTAGTACAATTGTTCATCCACAGTGCTACGTTTTTGGGTTTGAGTAGTATTTACCATGATTGTACCATGATTCATCCCATCTCACAAAGGTGGCCTTCAATGGCGGCCATTTTGATCGCCCAAGGCGGCCATCAGCCGCACCTCACACCCGACGCTTCAAGGACTTGATGTCCTGGACGAAATGAGCTGGCTCAGTTGGCTATGGAAAATGGATGAACATGGCCCATATGTTTATAGATAAATAGACTTAAAAATTGGAAATGAAATTGATGAACATTGCTATTTCTGAAATAGATCACTTAGAAACTTGAGGATTTACCTATTAGACGACTGGTGATTAGTTCTGTAGCTACATTCGATTCCCAAAAGCTATTGCATTTTGGGGTTCTCAAGGTATTGGCCAGCCGCCATATGCTGCCAGAAGTTGGGGGTGAAACTAGAAACTTCTACAGGACAATGGTGGCATTGGTGAACGATAAGCCAATTGGTTGCTGGAAAAGCCATTACCTTCATAGATGGTACTTCATTCAAGCCCCGTTCAAACCCAATGAGTTACCATTGCATAACTAGATCTATAGACTCATCGCAGCACCACGCAGCCCTCAATTCGAGGGCGATACTCACAACTCTCACTATCACTAACAACCCATGAGTTACAATTTACTAAATATAATGTTGTCTAGCCAATAGTGATATCTTGTCAATAGTAGAAACATTTTTCCGCAACTCCAATTTTTCTCCAATACTAAAAGGCAATTAGCTCCATTTACTTTTAGTATTGCCAAAAGAGTCATGTTCAGACCTTGTCCAGAGGGCATGGCCAATAGTGGACCCAACATGGCAATAGTGGAAACTTTTTTCCCAACTCCAATTTTTTCCCCAATACTAAAGTCAATTAGCTCCATTTACTTTTAGTATTGCCAAAGGAGTCAAGTAAAGCAAATCCTTTTCAAAGCAGCCTTCACTTTTGATTAGCAAAAGCATAGATTCCAGAAATCTGATCCAATTACCAAACAGCTGATTTCCTTATAAAACCCTTATTTAAAAAAGCAAGAAACAGGTCCACAAAGGGTACCCCCTTTGCAAGCCCCAGAATAGCAATAACAAACCTGCACCAGGCATGGCAATAGTGGAAACTTTTTTCCGCAACTCCAATTTTGTTGTCCTCCTTCTCCTTCTCCTTCTCCTTCTCCTTCTTCTCCTTCTTCTCCTCCTCCTCCTTCGCCTCCATCCCAGCCATAAGGTTCCAAAAATTTACTATTGGAATGCTGACCCCCCCCGATTTTTTTTTTAAATTATTTGATTTAGGGGGGGTTTACTATTAGGCAGCATACATTATATAAAATCGTACAAATACCACCATGCACTAACATAGAGTCAAGTACAGGGTTTGAACAATAGTTGCCTTAGGGTCTTAAGGTCCTCCTGCATCTCCGTCTGCGCATCGCGAAGGGATCCTGAGAGCGAAAATGTGCCATCTGACTGTGTCATCGGTACGAGAATTGGGCGTCCAGCATGCCAAAGGTAATTTCATGGAACTCTTGGATGCGTCTAAATGAATAATTGAGTCATGGATACTCTTTCAAACGCGAGTTAAGTAGTTTAACTTGATTCATAGGGGTTTGCTAGGCTAAACCCTGGAGTAATCGGATGTATAATGTATAGTTTTTGCGGAATGAAACAAGCTACAAAGAGATTTGCTTGTAAGATACATCTGGAAAACAAAACCATGAAATCCCAGGCAACAGAGCATGAAGTGAGGCATGTGCCTCACCGGATCTGTGATGAGGATCCAGTAGGATCCTCTCCATCGCAGGATTTTCGGGTTGCATTGGGATTGGATTTTAACTTAAGCTATAGGCTGCACCGCTCCCCAAGGGAAGGTTTGACACAAAACGCAACCAAGATGCCTAGCAACCTGCGCTGGGTCAGCGACTCATCACAATCCAATGGGGACACAACATGATTTTTTGTCTGAGATTTATATATATATGTGTATATATATATCATGGGTGAATTCATGACTTTAGATCCAAATATAATTCACCAAAAAATTAGGATCTAAAAGGATTTAAATGGATTCATTCATGAAACAGAAGGAGTCATGCAAACAGTCCGTCACGGATGCCTTACACAGACCCGACAACTCCAGACACAGGTAAGGATATGGCCAAAACAGTTGGCAATGCCTCAAATCTAAGGATAATGTTTTCAGCCGTAGGAATGTCTGACACATGCTCTGGCAAGAATCCGATAATCATCGGTGCGACCAGAAATCACTGCTACAAATTGTTTACCATTGGGTTTACCACATGATATCAGCCCCGAATTATGCTGAACCCCTCAAATGTTGGAATTTTAAAAAATGATCACGCGATTTTTGGAAAGCATCCCAGAATGAATCAACAAGGGTTTAAAACAGTTACCATCCGGTAAGCAGACAATGGACAATCGGAAAATCCTCCATACTGATATTGAGCTATCTCTTTAATGTCAACCCTGGATATTGTTTACCCCAAACAGCTGTTAAATTGGGAGGGTACCATAAAAAAGTATCAGATGAAATGACTATTTACCACTCTATTTCAACCGTTTGAGTACCATGGTTTAGTCTCATCCCGGGTTGAAATTATAGATCTTCGCAGGCACCGATATAAACCTCCAGTTGGGCCACGGGGAGAGGTTGGCCCAGGCCATCCCCGGCCTCAAGGACTGGAGCGTCCAAACTGGCACGTCCTCCAAAAATGCACCGGCTGAAATCATCCGAACCGTTGATGGTCTGAACTAACTTATTTAAAGCATATATATATAATATATTACATACATTACATTGCATTGCATTGCATTGCATTGCATTGCATTACATTACATTACATTACATTACATCACGCTACAGTACATTACATTACATTACATCACACTACAGTACATTACATTACATTACATTACATCACACTACAGTACATTACATTACATTACATACACACACATATATATATAAATACATTTAACAACCCCCAGAAAAATAGAAGTTTGCAAAATCCAA